TGTGTGTGTGTATATATATATATATATATATATATATATATTTGAAACCTGTAATTATATTTAGATCTAATGAATAATCTATTATTTACTTAATATTTCTCTTCCCTTTATGAAATTATTTAAAGTAAAATGGCTATGAAAATTGCAATATATTACAATTTTTTAATGACATCCAAATATTTTTTTAAAAATATATATAATTAATGGTAATATTTTTTTAAGAAGTATATATAATTTTTTTTAATTACAATGTACTGAATAAGTTATGAAAAGGAATGTGGATTTAAAAAAAATGCGTTAGTATTTCAGATCATTTTTTTGAAGTCAAAATCAAATAATTTAATCCTCTTGTAACAAGATGTTTCCAAAAAATATATTTATTTTAAATGTTTATAACAGTTCTTTTTAGTTTTCCTTTTAAGGAAAAGTCAAAGTAAAGTTGTTTTTTATTGTTTAATACATTCATAATTGTTTTTGTCAAAGGAACTGCAATCATTTAAGGTTCCATAGCAGAAAAAAAAGGGAACTGCTGAGTAAGTTTTTTTTCTGTGATGGTGCACTTGAATACTATCTTGTTCTATCAAATATTATTGAATGGAACTTTTAAGCAACTATTACAAAGAATATTACAATTTGTAACAAGTACAGCACAATGCATGAATCTTTTTTAGCAATAAATTAAACATATTACGTTGTTCATTAGGTTTATCATACTGTGACTGGTTTTGAGCTGTTTGTTTTTCAAGTGCAACAGTCTGATTGTGATCTTCAGCCTCCACACGCTTTCAAATTGTGCCAACATGACATACCCCAATCCAACTGCACACATACTACTACTACTTTGGTGTGTCCTAGCCCAGATGATATTAAATATAGGATGACTCGTCTTTCTATTGATGCTATAGATTTGTGCATTGTTGAAAGTGGAACCGCTATTGAAATTGAAGTATTTAATAATTACCTTTTTAATTAATGTTTAGTAGTTATTGCTTCTTAATAGCCACTTTGATAGGTAAAATATAAAAAGCATGTTTTTTTCCATGAATTTTTTACTTGGGAATTATATTATTAAATCCTTTTGTATTTTTTTATGTGCATATTCACTCTTAAACTGTTACATGAAGCAACTTCAAACCATTTTTAATGAACAATTTGAAATTAAGCGAAAAGTATTTTCATTTTTCTTCGTTATTAATTCTTCTTATAATTTGTTACAGATAAAGCAGTAATAAAAGAGGTACCTATGCTTAACCAGTTAAAACTGGGGATTGCCGACCCTTATGAGTTAAAGCCTAAAAATTTCCAATGTTTTTTTATTTTTATTGACTGTCGGCTAAAACTTGATTTAAGCATTCCCAGTCGATTTAAGGCAGAAGCCAACATATGCATTATTGTTTGAACTATGAACCTTAACCTTAAAAAGCAATGTAGTGAATCATAATATCCTACAAGACTCATAGGTATTATACCGGTAAAGAGTTTTTTTATGTACTTCCTAATAATATATTACCTTATCATACATATATTATGTAACTTTAGGCTTTAACTGACTAGAATCTAGTTTTATGTTTTAGCAAGTTAAACATAGAAGTATTGAATAGTTTTTCAGCTTTTACTGACTCGGAGTGATAAACTTCAATTTAACCATTTAAACTTAGGTTTAACTATCATTTTTGCTTTAACTATGACATATATGCTCTTTGATGTCTTGTTAAATTTACTCTGTTTAATATAGAACTCTAGTTAATGCAAACATGCTTGTTGTTTCTGCCAATTCCTGTGAATAACAGTTAATGGATAATGCTTATAAGTTTCATTACATTTTTTCAGATTTCTTTATGTATAGCAAAAAAAAATATTTTTTTTTTCTTCTGGCATTTTTTGTAACACATTTTGAAACTTTTACGAGATTTCATTATATATTGTTAAATGTTAAGAGAATACTTGTAACATTAATTGACATGGTTCATAAAAAAATTAAAAATTAGGACAAAACTGGTAGGGAATGATGAGGTTCTAGTATTCAAAGGCTCCACCCTATGGACATGTTGAGTTTGCTGCAGGAGATGTGTTTGGTAGGCTGGTGTGGGGAATTGGGGTTCTTGTTTTTCTCTCTAGCCGTAGCAAACATTCAGATGAATGTCACATTCAGTGTTATAGATACACAGCTGTGTGCTGGTGCAGTGTTATTTATATTTACTTGTGTAATATTTTATTAGTAAATATGTACTATAACACAGGGTTGCCACTCCACAGGGAGAATAGGGGAAACCTGAAAAATACAGGGAATTCAAAAGTCACCTAAAATAACAGTGAAAATGCAGGGAATTTTGATTTTTCTTTACAAATTGGGAAAATACGGGGAATTTTGTTTCTTATTTTTGTCTTTTAAAAAATGATGACCACTCAAAGCGTAATCTGTGGGATATTTAACCATGATATTTCAGCTATACTAAACTATTTCATTTACTATAGCATTATTTAAGTATGTTCAGTTGTTTTTCCAGCAATTAAAACTAATAAATATAGTTAATCCAGTAGCCTAGCTCACACAAGAGCATAGTAATTGTTGTTTCCTCTTAATATATTGTGTATAATATGTGCAGGGAAAACACAGGAAATTTTTTTCTCCAGATTTTAGGGGCAACCCTGTATAATTGTTAATAATTTATATTGGTCAAAGATGTTTTGAACCTCTATAAAAAGATTAAAATAAGTTGGTTTTGCAACCAGTTTTTTTTACCTTTCTCGGTTAGTTACTGTTCTTAATTATCATTCTCTATAAAAGTTGCTATATCAAAAATTTCAATTCCTTCACAACACTTCAAAGAAGCAAAGGTTTTTAAAAAAGAGGCAAATAAAGAATGTTCTTTATTAAAGAATTGGCTTGAAATTCATTTATCAAAATTTCCATTATTACTTATTCATCAAAATTTGAGTGGGCAAGGGGTGCAAATTACTTGTTTAATGCATTCATGCAAAGTGAATTACAGCTGTTCAAAAGATACATCAGAACAAATCTGCAAGGGATACAAAAATAAACAAGCTTTGCATTATGTGATTCAAGGCTAATATTGCATGTAAAAAGACTTAGATTTCTTTCATTAGCTTATTCTATGCTATTTATGTGTTAATCAAAAAAATATATATATTTTTGCAAATTCATTAAATTACAAATAAGTAAAAAATTTTAGCACATAAAAAACTTATCTGTCTTGTTATTCATAGTTTGGAGGTTATCACCATTTACCCTTTAAGTTAAATTGTGGGAGTGTATTCCACAAAGGCACCAGTATTGTCTTTGGATCATCATTAAAAAGGAATCCCAGACTGTGTTCAATATAGCCCATTAGTGTAGCTCTTGACTGTAGAGCAAGATTAACCAAAGGCAACTTTTTTTTTACTCTAGAAGGCAATCGATTTTTTTTTTATTAAAAAGAGTCTTTGTGTTAAATTTATGATATTTTTTATTAATCAAAATCAACATAGCTTAATGCTAACAAAAAATTGTTCTTTCTTGAGTTATCACAATCATGAGAAACCACTGTAATTTGTTTGAGTAGCCTTTAAACATCTTTTTTATTGATAGTTATTGTTTTTATTTATCAACTTTTCATCGATTTAGGTATTTCCTTTGCGACTTGCAACCTGTAATCTCCATGGAAATGATACTGTGTCAGGTTTAAGCATGCTGCTGCAGTCTGTGCACTTCAAACAGTATGCAAAAATAAGCTCGAATCTAGTATGTTCATCTGCATACAATATAGTCAGTCATGGGATTATGTCTCAGCAAAATTCAGCGTCAGATATTTGGCTTGAAGTCGGTGGTTTTAGCTTTGGTCCAATGTTCATTGATTCAGCTACATCACAAATGAAGAGAAATGATGACACACAACAAGAGAACTTTTTACGTGTGCATGATAATAAGAAAAAGAAATTGTGGTTTTTATGGCCCATAGATGTTTCACCCATACCTCAAGCTTCTCATGGGAAGTGTGGATGTGTTGGTGGCTGCTCCTTTTTTGGGAGCAATAAGAATGGGATATATTTTTTCAACATAAATAATCATTTGGAAGACATTTCAGCTGTCTCTGCCAAATATCAAATCAGTTTTGATAATAATTTGGGTTATGGCGAAAGCTTACTGCATAGAGGTCACTTTGTATTTGATGCTCCTGAAAATCTACCCAATTTTCCATATAGTTCCAGTCATTCTGAAAAATCAGTCATCATAACTGAGAATTCTCATGCTCATAGCAGAACTAAACTAAACGATACAACATTTTCAAAATCATCAGATAATGATTCTCATTTTATTAATAGAGGTTATAGTGCATTCTCAGAAAGTTATCTAGATGACAAAATATCTTTCTTCAATCACTCAAGATTAGTTAATGACACCAACACAGATAGTATGTTGTATGATTCCAGTATTCCTTCACTTCCCAGAGAACAGAGATACAATCATGTTCGTTGCATAAAAAGGCAATTTAGTAGTCCAACTCATGTGTCTATGCCATCTAGTTCATCGGTTCTTTCTTCTTATCAAATCTCTATGGCACAATCTGCTCCCGTAGCAGGGAAACTTGATCGAAAACCAACAATGAAAGGGGATGATTGGAAAAGCATATTAGAGTCGAACATTAATCCAATTTCATTGGTGAAAGAGGAAAGTATAAGTCCAGGTTTATCTCAAAATAAGTACAGTTCACGGATATCTTTAAACATAAGTCCAAATGGAAGAGGAGAAAATAATGGCTCAAGACATTCACTTGCGAGTATTGCCGCAAGGAGTTATTCCCCAAGATCAGTTCGTAGAGCTGCGTCTACTGAATCTACTCATTCCACAGAAAGTTATTTTTCTGCTGATGAAGATGGCGAATCCTCTGCAGAAACTGGTGATAATCCTGATGAGTTTCATGTAGATGAAGAGAAACGTCATGTAACTTTAAAAAATGGTACGAATTCAATCGATAGAAAAGTGGCAACTGCTCGTAGATCACTGCATGACATACAAGAAACTCCATCACAGCAATCTAGTGACAGTGATCTTCATATTACTGTTTTGCAGCGTACTCCATCGTGTGGCAATCACCACGATCCATCAGATTCTAACTCAATTTCTAGCACCTCATTTTTATCAGCTATGTCATCACAAGAAGATATTGCACTAGTTGATCTCCATAATCAAATGGACAAACCTATCATAGAGTCACCTTTATTAATGTCTTGCTATATGGCTCACATGACACAGCTTCAGTGTCTTCAGTGGTTTCAGCAGCCACCATTACCTCACCTGGTTTCTCAGTTTGATGGACATCATAATGGACACAACAAAGACTTCATATTTCATCGGACACACTCTGCCTGGAAACCAAAATTTGTTCCTTTAACTGAAGGTTTCACATCTATACACATGGTGCACAAGAACAGAACATCAAGCCATCGTCACAAATTTCAATATGCTCAGAAATCTATGTCAACCCATTCTGACGATGAATTTAAACCAGGTTTAATACACCAGGAACTAAAAAAAGGTAAATTTCTTAAAAAGCTTATTTTTTTAAAAAAATATTTAAACTTGCTTATTTATATAACAATTTTTAAAACTATCTTAAGGTGTGCTTCCTCTCCCACCCTAACTCAACTGTTAAAGGGGTGGAGACGGAAAGGGAAAATTCTAAATATGCTTCTAATCCTCTTTATTTAATTTTCACAAATAAACTGATTATGGCTATTTACTCTGTCAGGACTTTAAAGAAAGCAAGGTTGACAAAAGCAAGAAAAATAGTGAAGCGTGCAAGGCAGTATCAGTGTAGTTTTTATTTTTATTTTGATATAATTTTTTTTTTTAAAACAGCTAGCATTGGTTTTGAAGAGATTGTAAGTTGCTTTTGGATGTAATCAGAGTGGTTTAATAAATTGATATATTTTTTTCATTAATTCGATTTCCAATACACCAATTCAAAATTTTAAATAAATTATTGGGCCTATTTGCATGTTTTGATGCATGTAAAATACAAGTTCGCTACGCAGTTAGATCTTGAGATTATTATTTTATTTCTCAATTAGTATTTTAGATTCTCAATTAATTTTTCTCTCAAAATTATGCCCAATACAATTCTACCAATACGGTTTTTGAAAGTTAAATAGTAAACAGTTGTTTGTCTGTTTTTAGATTTTTGATAAGTATCTTTGTTTTTATGCAATTATTGATAAAGGAAATTTTTAGTGTCATCAAAAATCGCTTTTCTTCAGTTTAAACTGTAATAAGATTGGATTTTAAAAAATTAAAAAAAAACTTGAGAAACATGCAGTTTTAAATTAAATACCCAAAACCATAAATCACATCATTTTATTGCTTAAAAGTTTTGAGAAAAAATTCATAGATGTTATAAAAATTATTAAGCACTATTTCTCCTAATCTACTGAAGCAACCCCTTTATTTTCTACCTTTTTTGAAAGGTATTGTGCATCTAATAAAACCATATCTTTCGAAGTTTGCCAAATATGAAAAATAAGAAGAAAACACTAATTAAAATTTTCACCTAAAATCCTAGATGGAGAGGGTAGAAGCCTCTTAACCAATGAGAATAATTTTTCGCAATACATATCTACCACAAAACTATATAATTTTTAGTGTTATCATTGCTTCTTTCAAAAGCCTTAAGTAAGTGCCATTTTACTTCGGTTTCTACAACCATATCTTAAACTGACATCACACCACAAGTCTTAAAATTTTCATCATTCAATCATCTGATGCTTAAACATCAAACATAATGTTAGAGGTAACAAATCTTTATTTTCTTCTCCATTAGTATCAGGAGTTACTATTTTTCTCTCAAAACGAAATAAAACAGTATAAAAATAGTATTTGTCGCGGGAATGGTAAAACAAAGTAATACATATGGGAACAGGAGCAATGCGGGAACGATAGGTCGAAGTTTGACTGTAGCTTGAGACGATTGATAAGCAAATGAATGCAATCTTTTTCCCTTTTTTTAAATGTATGTTACATAATATTTTTTTTATGTTGCAGATGAATACAACTCTGGAGATCATAGTACTAAAATTGCTTCAAAAATTGTCTTTGTCATTAAATTGAGTGGCGATGTTCATTTTAAAATCTCACCATTGCTGGTTGAAAGTTTGAAAAGGTTTAGTATAAATGTTTGTTAAATAAAATTTATAATTGGGTCAGTGCTGAGACAAGGAGCCAGTGAAATAAACTGTGAACTATTTTATCTTTTTAATTGTAAATAATCCTTTGCTGACTTTTCAAACAATTAAGTTTATAGTTTATACATGTCATCCTAAATATTTATTTAGTTATAATTGGATGAAATTTATCATATATTCTTTATCAAAATATTGTTTTATCAATATTATTAACATTGATAGAAGAATTTTTATTAAATATAAAAAATTTGATTTATCATTTCTGGAAACTTAGGTAACATTAATCTGATAGGCACCAATGAGATAATCTTTGTTCCATTATCAATTTTATAGGAATTTTTATTTCAGGAAAAAATGTACAATTCAGCTGTCACAATGCTAGAAAATATTTTCCATTACAATTATAAGTTTGTGTTAAAACAGTTTATTTAACATTAAATCATTTGTTTGCATTAAAAAAAGAGACAGAAGAATAACTCAACTTTTCTGCCTCAAATTAAAACTGACTTTTTTGAACTCTCAATGTACAAATTTTTTTTAAACACTTTAATTATTTGCTTGAACCATGCTGATTCTGTCTGACACAACAAGACCAATATCCTTTCATTTTACTTTAAATTTTTATATGATATTTTGTATGATTGAGTTTAATTTTTTTGTTATTGCAGTTTCATCGATGTTCTCACTCCAACATTAGCTCAGCTGCATCCACTTACGATTGTTAACCATTTACATGTCATGTGCTCCCATGAAGTGCAGAAGAGCAATCAGCTAAAAAAGGAAAAAGTTCTTCATTTGAGCCAGCTTCGTGCACAAATAATAGAGAAATATAAAAAGCGCAATATTTCAAATTCAGAAAAGATAAATGATGGAAGCTCTGAGAACCTTGGAAACAACTATGAAGAAACTCGAAATACTCACACGAAAGCACTGATAAAAATTGCTAAAGTAAGTTTTGACTCAATCATCATTGTGTACCATATTATATTTGTCTTATTGTATTTGATTTACATAAGAATTGAACCCAGAATTCACTTGTACAAGATTCTGCTCTACAATATTTTGTCCCGTTGAGATTGTGTTTTGTGTTATTTTATCCTGTGGTATTTTGTTTTCTAACACTATACTTTATCCATTTGAGATTTTGCCCATAGTATTTTGAATAGATATACTAAGGCTTCTCATTTGTATTTTCGTTAATGATAAAAAATTTTTCTCACGCTATTTATGGAACAGGTGGCAGTTTATGATGCACTTTTACTCAGATTTTGCATATTTCAAAATAGTTATTAACTACAGAAAAAAAAAAAAATTGGACTTTCTATTTTTTTTGCTTTAAGTTTCTCAATTGAACATTTACGAACTATATAGCCAAACTTTTCATTTAGGATTATTATAAGTATGCTAAAAATAGCTTCCAAATCTTACAAATAATTGCTATGGACAATTTATAATCTGCAAAGTGCTTTGAAATACTTTACTATGAAATAGAATTTGAAAATTGAAAACTTAAAAAAAATGAGCATAAAATGCTTTAATCTTTATCTCAGTTAAAATGTAACAGTTTCATTAAAATAAAAAATCTATACGATAATTCTTAGATTAAAAGTTATGGTTTGAAAATTTATTTTAACATATTTCCTTACAAAAAATTGAAGTAGAAATTTTATAGCATTAAAAAGTAAAAAATATAATTTTTTATAACATTAAAAACAAAACATCCTTTTATATAAATACACATAAATAATACACATCTTAAATAAAATACACATCTTAAATAAAGACATATTGCATTGTGCACCTTGTAAAACTAGATATAATAATGACTTTAATTTATTTTCTGAATGAAATATGAATATTTATTTTAATTTATTTCCACTTTTAGATAAATGTTAGCATCATGCAAGCCTCCATAGTTGAAGAAGTAATAGCTTTCTCTGCTCTTGATAATTTAAAGGATTTAACCTGTGTTTCACTTCTGTCAATTTGTATCGATAATACATCAATTCAATTATCACATAGTTGTCAAGCAAAAAAGGTGATTCAAACTTTTACAGACTATTGCAATGGTAGCGTTGCTCGGACTAAAATCAATGAACGCTCATCAAAGAAAGCAAAAACTGATTCTTTACCTACCGAATTGTTAACTGTTGAAACTAGTGAAACTCAGCAGGAAGAGACAATTTTATCAGCTTCAGTTATGTGCATTCATTGCCAGTTGCGCAGGCTTAAAAATAATAGCAGCATATTGAAGGAAGCTATGCTTACGGTGATTCCATACCATAGGAGTAAAGTTGAATTCACTTTCGAAAATCATTTCTTTGGGCGTCAGTTATCCAAACAGAGTGATAAACAAGATGCGTTTATGGATGTAGAATGGAATCAGTATTTGGATGAAGAAAAAATGGGATTCATAATGTTCGAATGTGGACTTGAAGATATTGGTGTGAAATTCATAAAAAGGTGGGGTTATGATTCATTTAACTGTGTCGATGTGGATGAAAGAAAACCTATGGTCGAGCCGAAGAATGAAAACAAATCTAATAAGAAGCCATCAAGTGAGCGCCCTCCTTCTAAACAATGCCATAAGCAATGTAAATGTGAGGATAATTGGGATGCAAAGGTGTCATTTCCTTCTTGTGTCTCAGAATGTGGAAGCTATAGCAGCATGTACGATAGTAGATCGGATCTAAATAATCAAAATTTGAAAGGAGATGCATCTTCTTTTATAACAGAATTGAAAACTGTATGGTTCAATTTTGCAGCGCCTCCTCGGACTCCTAACACACGCAAAATTGATTTCACAAGGTATGTTTTCTCAATTATTTGCATTTATGCGCATGAAAGCAAATTTATTTTAAAAATTTTGTGCTCATTTTCTCTGTTTTTAAAAGAAATTTTTAAAACTAAAGAAATCAATTGAAGAAATATACTTAAAGAACAGGGTGTGTAGCATTTTTAAAAAGTGCTTGAAGGTGCTTATTTTCGATTATCTTTTTTTAAAAGCCCTTAAAGATGCTTTTTTCATTGGGTGTTTTTAAAAAGTGCTTAATTTTCCCTTTACCCTCTTGATTTTCGTCACGTATTATACAAAAAGACACTGTTCATGTTGTTCTATTCAATGCTTTCACAATTAATTCAACCCCAATCTATTTCGGTGTACCCTTGGTCCTTAGCGTATGAAAACGCCATTCGTTTTATGATTCAAAATTTCATGATTTTTGACTAACAAAACTAAAGTTTTTTTTCCCTTGACATGACGGTTAAATCCAGATAAAATCATCAATTGTCAAAAACTTGCCTACCCTGCCTAATTATATTTTTTTTGAAAGTGCTTAAAAATATTTTTGAGTGCTTGAAAAGTGCTTAAAAGATACTTATTTTTTGTTGAAAAATTTGGCTATGCACCCTGAAGAAGGTAAATAAGTCTACATTTTCAAAAGAAGCCTGATTTAATATTAAATTTTTATTTTCAAATAATACTTTCTTGTGGTTATAGTTAAAGGAAACTTTAGAAAAACTACTTATCTCTCTACTGTTTACAATGATAAAGAGTTTAAATTAATATTAAATTTATTTTCATTATATTAATGTAATGTTTATGTTACAGTTTTGCTTTCTCTATTCTTACTATAATATTTTTTATTTGTGCAAATTATTACAAAGACGCCCGGTGGCTGAGTGGTAGCGCTTTACGCTGTCGTGCCACAGGTCCTTGGTTCGACCCTTGAACCAAGCGATGTTGACTCAGCCTTTCATCCCTTTAGTGGGTTGATAGAATAAATATCAAGCATTCTTGGGAACTCAACACAGAGGATTCCGCGTTGGGCTGACCACCTAAACGGAACATTTGCACTTGCATTCCAGAGCCCAAAGGTCACAAAAACTGAGATGAGCACAGTAAGCCTTGGCACTTTATGGGCTGTCACGCCACTGAGTTTTAGTTTAAATTATTGCAAAATTATTACTGCATTGTTTATTTAGAGGTTTAGTCCTAACTTACTGTTCTAATTTCTTTTACATCCATTATCAATCGCATTATTTTTTTACTTGTATAACTTTATTTCTGAAGTTAATTACATGATAGTTATTAACTTTATTTTGATTTAAAAGTTCTAAATTTAATTTTCATTTTTGACTTTAATATTAATGATTGTTGAGAGAACATAGCAAATGCTTTTTACTTTAGTTATTGTTTTTTTCACAATTTAGCTGTCTGTTTACTGACAGAAAATTGAATTTTTGTATTTAATTAATTAGGATTAAAATGTACGTTTTCAAGATTTTTTTCTATCATTTTAGTGATTCCAGGTTTATGTACTTAAAAATTGTAAACTTGATTCCATAGATTATATTAAAAACTTTTTTTATGCAGAAAAATTTTATAATGATCCTTTTTTAATTAGCCTACATAAAAGAGACAAAATTATGATAATAAAAATTGATTGTTTTGAGCGTAAAATTTGGTTTATTGTTGTTCTACAGTCTTGAATCCGATATTTAAATATATTTTTCATAATTTGCAATTTTTTTAAAGGTTTTTCTCATAAGTTTTTTTTTCAGTATCAAAAATTGTAGAAACACATCCTAAATGATTAACCGTATTACCTAGATTAAAAAGTTGAATTTTAGCAATTGAAAAATTTTCATGCAATTTTGATGCCTAAAACTAATGTTTGCTTGTTTTTTCATTCAAATACACATTTCACTACAGAATCATTTTCATTTCTCTATGGATGGTTTTTTTAAATTAGTTTTTATTTATTATTTCGAAAATAATAAGCTTTAGATTTAATAAAAAATGCTAATCTAAATTATTCTCAGAAAATAAATGCAATTTTTTTCGTAATTATTAAAAGTGTGTTGCTTCAAATTTATTTCATTGGTTAAGTTTTGACTTGACAATGAAAATAAACTTTTTAATTGAAGGGAAATTAATCAAGATGGTATGAATGTCATTTTAAAGTGTGTTTAACTTGGTTTTCTATAGTTAGTTAGGAGAATATTTAAATTTTAAGGAAGCTGTTTTAAATTAGTTTCTATCAACTATGCTTTTTCTTTATTTTGTTAAATTCCATGAAACAGATTAAAATTCAAACTGCAATTATAATGTTAATATGAACTAACAACGTGAGTTTTTAAAAAAATAATTTTCATTTAATTAATAAGCATTAATGACATAAGTTATTTCTTGAACGGATATAATACATATCAATATTTGGTTCCTGTGAACTTGAAAATTACGCCATTTAAAGTTACATTATCTCAGAACAAAATTAATGATTATGATAAACCACAACAAATTGATTCTCAATAGAATCCAGAAAACAAACTAATGAGTGGACAAAATGGTTGATGCAAATGGTGTTGCTCAAATTCGCCAAGTTGCCAACCCAGTTGATATATCTATTTTTGAAGTCTCCCACAATTGTTAAATTGTTTCAGAATTGTTATTAAAACTATTTTTCTTTAAGAAGAACTTCAATAGTTTTGTTGCTAAAACACATTCATATTAAAGATTTCATCATTTCATATAAAAGATTTGTTAAGTTTTTTTTGTTAAAGAAAAATTTTCTTGCTTTTACTTATTTGAAAACTATCATACTATGTTTTTATTTAAATTTTTTGAAAAAAAATATTTTGTATTCCCTAAATAATTAGTTTTTGACATAAAAAGTAAAAAAAGTTCATATTTGAATTTAAATTGTTTTTAATATCAGTTTGTATAATGATTATAATTTTTTAGGTTAGATTGGCATTTGCTAAGTACCGCTACTCCATCTATAAATGCATGGCTGAAACCGAGTGATCGACTGCTTGTTTCAGCCAAAAAAATGGCAAAGGAAGCCGGACAGAGATCTGCTGCAATAATGGCGTGTTTAATGGCTGAAGCTTTAGAAGTACAGAGTATACATATGCCTGTGAAGGTAAATGGAACATATATATATATATATATTTTAAATTCATTTTCTTTATTCTAAAGCTGCATTCTATTTCATTGCACCTCAAACTTTAAATCTATTGATGTATTTCTTTTTATAAAATCACTAAAAAATAACATTCTTTTGTTTATCTTTAATATTTTTAAACTCAATTCATCAAAGCATTTGAAAGTTTTTAAAAAAGTTTTGAAATTATTAAGAATCTTGTTTAGATACACTTTTATTTTAAATTATTAAAAATATAATTAGGTTTTGTTTGTTGTATTTTTGAAATTCTAGTTGTAATAATTGTTCTCTTTTGTCAACAATTTCAAACCAGTCTGATTTTGAATCCATATTTGAATCTTTCAAATTTAATTTTTTTTAAATTTCAAGGTAAGTTATAATTTTTCTATAATCTTTGAAGGATGTTTTAAATTGAAACAGTATTGTAAAATTGCATTTATTATACTTATTTTTATGTATTATTTCTGAAGCCGGCATAAGTTCTGAGGCATATAAATAAAGTGATAACCATGTCTAAAATTTATATGCTTCTAAAATATTTATATGCCTCTTATTTATGCATCGTTACTTTTATTATTTGGTATGACGAAAGTGCAATGCCCCATCAATTGTTATTTTTTTTAAAAGAAAAAACATTTTGTCGTAAAATTTGAGCTAAAAAGGAAAGTTTGAATCAAATATTAATAATTACTATTGACAAACTGTAAAACTTTATTTAGTCAATCATATTATGAATTTACCGAAAAATTGAGTAATAAGTATAAAATTTTTATTTTGTTGTCAAATAAACAAAAGATTTTTAAATTCAATGTTAATATACAATGTTAATATAAGAAACAAAATTGAAGTCTTTCATATTTTTATATTTAAAAAAAAAAGAAAAATCACTATCAATTTAATGGATTTTATTTTGTCCAGCCTATACTTTCATTATTGGTCTCAAAATAGGAAAAATAGGAACTAATGAAATATGCAATTATAGAAAATTTCGATATGTGGTTCGTACCTTTAAAAGCATGTCAAATGTTGAGAAATCAAATTTCACAATCTTTCTCATTATTTTTATTGTATAATAATAATATTGGGAACAACCTTTAGAAAAAATTTAAAAAAAAATTCATATATTTTCTCTTTGAAATTAAAATTAAAACTTTTATTGTTGTTTAAGCCACCTAATTTTACTAACTATGTTTTGTATATCATTTTAAATATGTTTAAGTATATAAAACTGTGTTTAAATTTCAGTCAATTTTTAACAGTTTTTGTCTTTTTTATTTTTATTGTTTTTATTTTTGTAAAATAAGTTCTCAGTTTGTTTTTTATTTCTTTCAATTTTAGAGCAAATATCTTGCTTTCAAATTAACACCTTTAGCTAAGACTCTTCAAGAAGATCCATCCTGCCAATTATTAATGGTTTTAAGAAGATATTTAAAACAAGTTGACCTGGTAAATGTAGAAGAAAATGTAGTTGCAGATTATATTCCCCCGATTAAAACAGTCTATAGAGGTTTAATTTCACTAAGCCGGCAGTGGAAAAATGTTCTTTACATGCCGTTTCTTGTAGAACAAAATATTAGATTTCGTAAAAACATGAGGCCTCTAAATTTGTCCTTCTCTGCACCCAAGATTGATGCCATGCTATCCAGTAATGATGATGCTGATAAATTATCTTTGGATGAGTGTGAAGTCACTGATGAAACTACTAATTTATTAATTGCTGAAGGTGGCTCATTAACTCTTGGTCAGTCTCAAAAAGCTATGCCTACTCAAAGCTCGCCCCCAAACAAATCTTATTCTAGTCGGGACACAGGCTCTCGTTCCAGTAGCAGTCAACAAGAGGTTACTGAAGAAGCTGTTAGTAGTGGTTCCGGTGCCCAAAAAGCAAGGAGAAAGCTTCCAAGCTATCCACCGCGTACATCTAGAGCTAGTGTTGCCTTTCCTCTTCTTGGTGGTCCCCTTGACTCTCCAGGCCGTTATGCTGGAGGTATGAATGGAAAAAGTAATGGTTTTGTTTTACAACAATACGGTCTTAATGCTATCTCTAAACTTAAAAGAAGTGACAGCAGACACAGTTTAAAGTCAACAACCTGGAGTTTGTCCAGTATTGAGCCGAATTTGCAGTCATCTGTATTCGGTACACCTCAGAAAACACTTGGCAATGGTGATATAGATCAAGTTGATGAGGACTTATATAACTGGATGGCAAGGCAGCAAGAATACATCCGAAATACAAACAACCAAAAAAGAATTGAGAGAGCACAGCTAGAATCTAAAAAGAGCACTTTTGCTACAGACAATAGCTTTGAAACGGAAATGCCAAAATCAATTGTAGCTGCTGTCAACTTTGCTCCGTTGAGTATTCAACTTGCTGACGCTCATGTGATATTCCATCCTCTTTTGAACAGCATCGGTGTTCCAAATCAAGCTCTCCACACTTCATTCAGTATTGCATTTGGACCAAAAATATCAGTTTCAGCTACAGTGGAAATGTTAAAAATTGACATAGTCGAATCTGAGTATCACAGTAATGTTCGCCAAAAGAAAAAATCAAATAGAAAGCAATCAAATTTGCATGGGAAGTTTTTTATCGACACAAGCATGGATACTCCCACATTTATTTGTGACAAGTTTTCACTGGAACTGGAACTTAGAGAAACACTTTGTCATAAAGGTGAAACAATAAGCAATGATATACTTGTCCCATCACCTGCTTTGATGTTTTTATCCAATGGTCCCAAACATAGCACCATTATAAACTTCAGCGTGGACATTAACTTCGTTGCTCAGCAGGTAAATATGCCATTGCTTCGACTGTTGCATCAGTTTTCCACGATGTATGAAAATATCAAAGAAACGAGACTCGAATTGAAAGCAAATAGACCAAGTTCTTTTAAGGAGAGTGTGAAAAATGAAAAGAAAGGGTTTTCTCCTTCTGTAAGTCAAACTGGTAGTTACAGATTAAATTCACCTAAACCACCACCTCCGAAATTCAGTACTCCAACACCTACTCCAACCAAATCTGTGGGAGTTTCTAGTATAACAGCTGGCATTCGTAGACCTCATACTCTTTCACAAAGATTAAGGGCCAGCACTAAAGGTTACACTAACTTACAGGATACGACCACAAAAGAGGATCGTTCTTGCAGCCCTATTAGTTTCACATTGAGTGAATCGGTAGCCATTGATATTCCTGATACCTGTTCTGCCCCAGCCTCTGAACACACATTACTTGGAGAGATTAAAGAGCTTCAACCAAGATGTTGGAGAACTATGTTTTATCTTTTGGATCTTTATGATACTATGCCTGAACCAAAAACAGTGAATGAAAGGTACGTTTTTCGGATTTTCCATCTACTTATTTTAGTAGCTTTTTAATTAACATTTTTTTAATATTTTATTGTATTGTTTTAAATATTTATCAGTATATTATGCTGTTTTCTTACTTACTCCTTGGCACTACCACCCATAAAGGATGTTGGTCTATCTCATAACACACCTCTGAAATTTCCAATCTTCAGCTAATTTTTATGTAATTTATGACTTTCATGAGTTTAATATCTCACTCAACTTCATCTAGTCATCATTTCTTGGGCCTTTCAACTCTCTTCTTTCCTGCTATTTATTTCAAAAAACCCTTTTCCGCTCTTCTGTCCTCATTTATTTTTATCAAATGGCCCAATCACAATGGTCTTTTTTTTAGTCTTGGATGTGTGTTGCAATTGATTTTAAAAATGTGCACAATTCCATTTATTCTGACATATATGGAATTGTGCTATAATTCTGATGTGTAATATAATTCTTAATATCATTCTCCTATTCAGGCTACTTATAAAATAATAACAGGTTCTAAATTCTCTGTACTCCTAGTATTTCTATGCTGATGCTCCAAATGTTTATGTTCCTATCCACCATTTTAAATTCTGTTTATATTATTATTAGTAGTTTAAATCAGACTGCATTCTTCTGCCAGGTGTTCAACAACTCATGTTACTCAAGATAGAAAGTCCCTGGATGTATCAGAAGAGTACAGGGGTAGTGGCAAATATGAACCTCTAAAAGAGCAACAAGCAGATACAGTGGACAACAATTTCTCTGAAAAACCTGACGTGCCAAAAGAGAACTTGAAAGGCTTTACTAAAGGTGATCATCTGCATTTATTTATTTAATTTTTTATTACATTGAATATTTTAAAATTACCTGAATTGTTCTATCGTTTTTGGCACAAAATAGATTTGTTCTAAATTTTAAAAAAATCAGACATATATTATAATTGATATTTACTACCATGGTCAAACACCTAGCCCTGTTTTTCAGGAACTTATCTTTGACGTCTATGGTAGAAATGCCTGGTAATTTTGACCCCAGTTTAGGACAACATGGAGAGCGCTTGAGATTTTATTTCTCTCTTCAACTATAGAGAAACCTATGCTGCCTATACGCAGGTTGATTGTTCATTCAGCTGCCAGGATGAAACCCATGGCCTCTAGAGATGTTAGCGGTGCTTTAAAAGACTGCATCATTAATTAAATGCTCTTTGTTAATAATCATAATTAAAAATGGAGCAGTTTTATTGCTATGAACAAGCATCAACTTAAGTGTCAAACCTTAGGAAAATAAGACAGAAAATTAATAATGAGAGGATGTCTTTGTCCTAACACAGAACATCTAGGAGTAATAGTTAAACTAAACTCTGTGTCATAACAGCCCATAGAGGGCCAAAGCCTACTATACCATCTCAGTTTTCTTGAACTATAGCTCTGGGGTGCAAGAGCAAATGTTCCGGTTGGACGTAATAATCAGAGCTTAAACTCGATGGAGATTCCTTGATATGGGACCACTAAAAGCTTATTTGAATCATGATAAAATAATAATTATTGTTCCTTTTATTAGCATTAAATGTAAAATGATAGTAGGCTGATTTTTTTCCTTTTTTCTGAAAAATTTATTTTTGAATTTTTATTTTGGTCTGTGTTTTGTTACAAATTATCATTTTTTATTATACTATGACTAAATGTAATATTATTTGAATTCATGTTGTTATTTTTTAAAAAAAGTCTAATAATGAGATGTATAATAATGTAATAATGAAAATATAGTGAAGATGAGTAGAGACTAGTAATTTCCACCCCTGTAATAATTCTCTAATGGGATAGTTACTGGTTTAAATTTCTATAAATGGGATGGTTGCCTTAAGAAAATGTGTCTCTGAATTTCAAATTTTCTTTATTAGCTCTGATAGTTAGAGATTGGACGCCTTTAATAATATTTGGAGTGGCAACTGTGCATAAGACAAGACTCTTAGCAATGCTGAGTGGTTTGAAACTTGAAGGAGAATTAAATGGATTTCATTTAAGTTTAACACATAAGGACAGAGTTCGTGGTACAAATAGAAAATGGAGTGAATCATCGCTTGCTGGGCAGCTGGCCCAAGCTATGGTAGTTGTCTTGGAAGGTGTTCCACCCAATCAACAGTAAGTTTTATAAAACTAAAATATTATTACTGAGTTTTGCTACTGAAATAAAATTTTTAGAAGCATTATCTTGTTAACTTTCAATGTAAAGCATAAATGCAAAGTCTCCTGTTTTTTAACGAAGACTCCTGTATTTTATGACTATCTATTGTTTACCTGTATATTCTCAAATTTCTTTGTATTTGTTGAAGAAATTTAAAAGAAGAAAATAAAAATTGGTGACAAAATATTCACTGATGGAAAAAATACTTCTCTTATTCCTCAACAGATCGTGCTATTGTCAGTACTGCAGTTTGTTGAGTATGAATTGTTTAAGTCGAGCCGTGATGGCTCGGAATAGAGCATTCGCCTTCCACTGAGGTGAACTCAGGTTCGAATCCCAGCGATGACTGGTTGATACGAATTCCGCAACTGGCTTCCACCGACCACAGTGCTGACGTGAAATATCCTCAGTGGTAAATAAATCACGGGTTAGAGTCCCATTGTTCTCAGGCTGCCTGTGGGAGGTTTTTGTGGTTTCCTCTCCACGTAACTCAAATCCGAGTTAGTTCCATAAAAAAGTCCTTCACGGGGCTAACTTCTCCCAATACTTGATCCAGGAGTACCCTTGTCTTCTGGATTTGGTTCAAAATTACAAGGTTACAGAGTTGAACATCAGTAGTTGTAAACCCCAAATTTGATCGGTTAGTAAAATCTCCGTTATTTTATTTCTCCAATGTTGGCAGGTATTATAATGCTATGCGTTTGCCTTATTGGCTGTGCAGAGTTAAAGAAAATTACTTTATAAATTCTAAAAGAGTTTTAAAGTCAATTTTATTATTATTATTTATACTTTAAAATTAAAAACTAATTGGATGAAGGTTTTTAGTGACTTAATTGATAGTTTATATCAGTGTTTCCCAACCTTTTTTGTACCATGCCCCACCTAAGCCTTTCTAAAATTCTTATGCCCCCCTATGTAACATATACATAATTTTTAATATTAAAAAAATCGTATTGTTCACTTAAGAAACTTAGGAAATTGTTAGCGAAACAAAGTAAGTAAATTTTCAGAACATATAATGAAAAACTAAAATTCAAATTCGAAATAATTTTAATAAATATTTTTCTATAATAATTTAATATTTTAATTAAGTTAGATTCTTGCCCTTGATGCTTGCTGCACGTAGATTTTATCTTAGGTTCCAATTTGGTTAGCCTCAGTCTCAAGTCTCCCCGTTGTGTTATATCTAGACGATTTTTTTTTTACCAATAAAATCATTTACAGCACTAAATCCACATTCAGCTAAATATGAAGATGGAATCGGTAACAATAGTTTTCTTGCACATTTGATTGAATTTGGGTATTTGTTTTCTGTTTCCTCACGAAGCCATGCCATCACTCCTTTCATATTAAATAAGGTTTTAACTGGCTCATCATTTTGCATTTCTGCAAGTTCTTCTTGATATATTTGATATATCAGACAAATCCACTAACATGGACTGCAACATCCATGTTGGAAAATAAACTTGTTTTAAATCAGAATATCTTTCTTTTAAATCAGCCGATAGAATTTTCAGATGATAGACAATAACAAGTAAAGGGGTATCATTTACTTCACATTTTTGGAGCCAATGAAACTGTTCAAAGTTTTTGTTGTTAATATATTTCTGACATAACTCAATAAGGGTAATGAAGCCATATATCTTCGCTTTTGCATCAACAAGGTTTTATTTGTTCCTTGAAGTTTCTTATTTAATATATTCAACTTTTCAAAGATATTGACTAAATAACTCACAAATGCTTTACCATCGACTGTAAACAGATACTTTATTTCAGGTTTGTCACTTAAAAAATCCCTAAGTCACATAATATTTATTGACCGCAATTATTTAAGAATTTGCTTTTTTCTTTTGATTTTGTCACCGAAATCTCGCATTGCATTTAAATGGCCCAGAGCAAAAGGTTTAAACTCATGTCGAGTCCATTTTTGAATTGCCCCCCTTTGCAATTAAATTGCCCCTTGGTGGGGCGTGGACCCCACGTTGGGAAACACTGGTTTAGATGAATTGACTTAAAAGTTTATGTGTTGAGAATAAGAAATAAAGATTGTTTACCCTTTATGTTATTTCTGTAAGCAATCATTTGATGAGATTTTCAATATCCAACTGTCATTTAAACTGTTTTCAACATAGTGTTTGTATTCAAGGCATTTTAATTTTCTAACGTAAGAGAGGTTTCTCTAAAGTTTCTTAATCTTGTGGTGCTTTAATCTCCAACATCCTTTTGAACAATAATTAGCTGTTGTGGAAGTGATTTACTTAAAAATGATAGGCTCGATTTTATGTTTGATATCATGCAATTTTTTAGGTTAAAAACAAGATTTCTTGAATTCAATCATAAAAAAGAGAATTCATAAGTAGAAAATTCGAGTTTATATGAGCTTTTGGAAATCTGCCTTAAATAAGTGTGCGAAAAGTTGAAGAAAAAAAAGAGCATTACTGCTATACAATGTTTGATTTTTAATAACTGTTTCAGCTATAAAGTGGCAGATGGCATTATGATTAATTTTCTATAGTGGCATACATTTTAATTCATATCTGCATAAAATAATGATTATCTTGAAATACTACATATTAAAAGCTAATTGTAATAATGTTCATTCAAACAATTATGTACTTTGCTTTCTTTAAGAACTGTTGTAAATATGACCGTTGGAAAATCACAAGCCTTGTACTCTACTCAAAATAAAAAGGGAAAAGATCGTAACTCCGCTTTGCTCACCATAGGACCTATAAATATTGATATACCTCAGCATCCTGTTGTTCTCCATGGGATGATGACTCGTAGTAGTCGCCAACTTTCAACTACATTACAGGAGTTAAGAGCAACTCGCCAACCATTGAGGCCTTGGTACATATTACATATTCCTTTCTCTGTCTTAAGATTTTTAATTTAGAATTTAAGATTGAGCATTATTATTGAAAATCGTGTTAACTAATTTTAATGCGGAAAATTTTCTTTGCTATCCTCTTACAATCTGTCATTATTCTATATCAATATTTCACCATTTGTTCGAATTCTCTTTTCATAATTCTCCACACAAATCATTAGTATTATATCAAATGCTATGGAAGTTAGACCCCAGTGGCTGAGCGGTAGCGCTTCGCGCTGTCGTGTCACAGGTACCTGGTTCGATCCTCGAGCCGGGCAAGGTTGACTCAGCCTTTCATCCCTTCAGTGGGTCGATAAATGAGTACCAAGCATGCTTGGGAACTAAACACTGGGGGTTCTGCGTTCGGTTGACCACCTGACCGGAACATCTGCTCTTGCACTCCAGAGCCCAAGGTCAAAAAAACAGAGATGGGCACAGTAGGCCTTGGCCCTGTAGGGCTGTCGCGCCACTGAGTTTAGTTAAGTCTATGGAAGTTATAAAGTTAAAATAAATTTCCAAATTTAAAAACCCTTTGTTTTGATAGTTAACTATTTTTTTAATATTTATTTTAAATATTTGTAAAAATGCTAAAAAAAAACTATCTAAGAAAACTTTTTATTACAAAAAAAATGTAAGTTACTACTTTACTAATTCTACTTACTAAGTTACTCTAATTTTGGATTAAGGATTTTTTAGATTAATTTTGAAATAAAATTTAAGTGAAATTTTATTACTTAATATCTATGTATTTTATCTTTTCATAATTTTAAACATGTTTAATCACTATATTAAAAAATTAGTTTTTTTTAATATTATTGATTCTATGTTACGGTTTAAATTTTTTTAAAATTTTTATAATGAATATTTTGTTTTAAAACCTTGAAGTGTGTTGTAACTTTCATTTATTTTATTTGCATAGCCAACAAATAGATGAATATAGTGTCGCAAATCATTCTCCCCAGCCTTATTACTTTAATATCTATGTATTTTATCTTTTCATAATTTTAAACATGTTTAATCACTATATAAAAAAATTAGTTTTTTTTTTAATATTATTGATTCTATGTTACGATTTAAAATGTTTTTTTTATAATGAATATTTTGCTTTAAAACCTTGAGGTGCATTGTAACTTTTATTTATTTTATTTACATAGCCGACAAATAGATGAATATAGTGTCGCAAATCATTCCCCCCAGCCGCCTTGGGATACTCCTCAGAACCATTTGTCTGAGCCAAATCATGAACCCATCAATCCTTTTATCATACAGTTCAGTATCATTTTAGATAGTTTAACTGTTGGGGCAGCTGTTCTACCATCTTTAAAAGCCCAATATCAGGTATAATGTTTTTGTGTGTTAATTAAAAAAAGTTTTTAATCTTTCTGTTAATGATATTTTCAGTATTATAATTAAACTTTTATTTAATTATTTAATTTTTATTTGTTTTGTAACAAGTGTTAAAATTTTTTTTATTTATGATTTTAATAAAAATGTTTTTTTTCATTGAAATTTATGTTTCGATATTTTAAAAATGTTAAATTTTTTTTTAGAACTAGTTAAAAATTGTATTCTTTAAGTTACGTGCTCTAGTGCAAAACATTAGATATCAAATTTGCACTCTAATGTACTGACTGTTGCTGGATGATATCAGATTCTTAATACGTGTTACATCATCCGAAAATATCAACTGAAAATAATATGGAATGAATAATATGAAGTTTGGTATTGAAACATTGAAGTGTTAAAAAAACAATGTACTGTGTGCAAAAAAAAAGAAGAAAAAGGTCCACTTTGAATAACTTTTGACCTAATATTTAGATTTTCAATCTTAATGGCTCTATCAAGTGACCTCAATTATCCTAATTAATAAATACTGACGATATTTTAAGTATCGAAATCAGACACAAAAACGTACTTTCTCTGAATAAACATACCTTTTTTTAGACGGATTTAGATTTCTGACTTCCGAAATATAGGGGTAGCTGCAATCTAGGAAATATGGTCCCCATAGTATGTCAGGAGAGTGATAAAAAGTTTGGACCTTTTAATGTTAATTTTGCTTTTTGTGTGTTTCGCTATATTACGAGAACTTTTTAAGCGAATTTTTGCACACAATTATAAAATTTGTTTATCTAAAAGTAATTCCATGCAAAAAAAAAAGAAATTTTAAAAATATTTTTTATTATTTTATTTACTAATAGTCGAAATTTTTTTTAATTATAAGATAAAATTTTTTATATAATTTTAAAGTATGTAATTTTACATGGTAAAATTTGAATGAAATTGGTTGAATAGTTCCTGAGAAATTTTAAATACGTAACTTTTTTAAAATTCAATTCCTCAGGAACTATTTAATGCTTTCGATTAAATTTGGTATTTTGCAAAGTAAAATTACATACTTTAAAATTATGTAAAAATGGTATACCTTATAATTCAAAACTTTTTCAACTATTATTAAATGAAATGATAATAATTTACTAAAATTGATTTATTGCGTAGAATTATCTTTAGATAAATGAATTTTATAATTGTGTACAAAAATTTTCCAATTAACTTAAAAAATTCTCAGAATATGGTGAAATATGCAAAAAGTCAAGTGAGCATTATAGGTCCAAATTTTGGATCGCTCTCCTGACCAAACTATGGGGACCATATTTTCCAGATTGTGGTCAACCACTATATCTTAGAGAATCTGAATCCGTCGAAAAAAAAAGATATGTTTATTTGAAGAAAGTATGTTTTAGTGTCTGATTTTGTAACTTGAAATATTGTCTACAGTAATTAACTAGCATATTCGAGGTTAACTCCTCAAACCATTAAGTTTGAGTCTTAGAAAGTGAAGATCCGATCATTAGATGAAAAGTTATACAAGGTGGTCCGGTTTTTTTTTTTTTTTGGCACACTGTGTGTACTTGAATTTTTCTTTTGATGAATTTTTTTTTGTAATATTACTTGCTGTGTTTTAGTTTTTTTTAAATTGGAGAAACTTAAATTTGTCAGTTATTCGGCATAGTGATTTGTAATTAAGAAATAGATTAAATTTAAATTTTATACATTTCATTATTTGGTGCACTGTTCATACTTGAATTTTTTTTATTATATTACTTACTGTGTTTTATTAAAAATGTTTTTTTTTCTTTCCTTTTTTTCCTTTTTTTAATTTGGAGAAACTTAAATTTGTAAGTTATCTGGTATAGTGATTAGTAGAGCCCGGATTTTGATGACCTAAAAAATCTCAATTAATGCCCTTAAAAAGTGCAAAAAATGCCCTTAAAAGTGCAAAAAATGCCCTTAAAATGCGAAAATTGCGCTAAAAATGCCTTATGACATGACTTAAATGGAGGAAAAATATTGAACTGAAACAATGTTTTACTCTTTAAAATTATTATGAGTCGTTTAAAAAAATATAAAGCAATGCAATACTTGTTCTACGTTCATTAAAGTTTGAAAAATATGTTTTATGTCCTAAAATAACAAAAAAAGGAAAATATATTGACTCCAAAACATTTTCATTTTGTATAGAAACTTAAATGAATATACAACTTCCATCTCATAATATTACTAAATATCAGAATTACAGTGGATTATTAAATTTTTTTTTAATATTTTGAAATGTAAACGAGCGTCTCTTGTCTGAAAGCAAATTTTTATACCAGGAGAAGCTTCTTTCAACGTCTACTGATGTTATTGGTGCTTACTTGAGAAGGACGGTCACACTTACTGACAATTCTTCTTCAATTTGAAAAGATGTTGCTTCACCTGTTAATATCCTAGAGATTTTCTTCATTGTTTGGAAGCCAGTGTAATAATAAAAAATTATAAAAAACAATAAAAATTGGAAAAAATTAACAAGAAATTTAAAAAATGCTTTAAAATGCAAAATACGCCCCAAAATTTAAAGAAAATGCCCTATAAATCTCAAAAAATGTCCAAAAATGCAAAAAAATGCAAATGTCATCAAAATCCGGGCCTTAGTGATTAGTAATTAAGAAATAGATTTAATTAAATTATATACAATTCATTGTGTTGGATTTTTTAAAATTTTACGCTTTGGATAAAATTACTTGCTGTCAAGGAGAGAACGTTTATCTGAAAAATACATAACCCAGATATCCAAGGTGTAACCTCTCTCAGCTTTCTCTTTCTTTGGAAACAGAGAAAATTTTGAAATCTTAAAAAAAATTCACAATCAACTTAAATAATTCATGGAGTATTAATCATTAATTTGATGATTACGCATCAATGTTTCAATCTAGTGTTAGGTATAAATATATTTTTAATGTAACCAGTCATATCTAAAAAAATTAAATAAAACTTCCTCACATATAAAATTAATAAATTGTTTTTATATCAATTAATATCTATCTTAAGCTTTTAGTTAAAAATAAGAACGAAATTATCAAACTGAAATTATAATTTTTATTATTTTGTTTGAATTCTTGAAAATTTTTAGTAAAAAAATAATAAAATTTAGATTAAAGAAATTAAAAATTTTACTTAGCGTATTTTGTATTTATTGTTAAATTCTTAATATAGATAAATGTGTGACTGTAAAAAAAATTTATGATTGAAATTCTGCTTAAAATTCAGCTTAAATTCTGCTTTCAGTATATTTCATTGAAATTGTGCACTGGAAATCTCAGGGAATTAGGTTTTGTCTAAAGAGTAGCCTTCCTGTAAAATAAATAAATTAAATTAAAAAACAAAAACAAAAAATAGGAATTTTTGAAGCATTTATGCTAAAAATGTTGATTGGTAAAGAAAGGAATTTATTTCACAGAAGAATATCATTGAGCTACTAGAATACAATTGGCAATTAGAATTTTGTGCAATATTAGATGCAAGATCTAATTAAAAGCAGACAAAAATTTCAATTGTTAATTTTATTATTTTTTTGTATTTCATTGCTGAGTATTACACTATTTTTAAACTGTTTATTTTGTAGATGGGACAAGTTATCAGTCTAGGAGTTACTGGAAGTAAAGCAAAATTTACTGTTGATTTACCGCAGCATACATTGAGCTTCAATACCAAAGTAAAGTGAACTCATATCATTAAAACTATATACTACTACTTGTATTACCATTTATACTGCTTAATGATGCTTAATTAAGGCAAATACTCCTATACTAACTTTAAGGAAACCGTGTATTTGCTTATTGTTATAACATCACTAGAAATCTTTTTATTGTACAAGTTTTTCCTGTCCCTCAGAAAATTTCTTATTAAATATATAAATTGAAAAAACTTTGAAGTTAGTTTTCTTTTTAAATAGCTATTACTTTATTTACTTTGCCTGTTTGGTTGTTTTAAGTCTTTTATTATTTATTGATTCAACAATGCTGGGTAAGCTTTTGACTTCTTTGGAAGTCTATTTTCGAGGTATAATGCAGAAATAGATGAAACTATTCCTGTAAGTTAGCATGTAAGTGTTCCCAGAATTTTGCTAATCTTGTAAATTTTTTTGTTGGTATTAAAAATTTCATAAATACCATATAACCTGGTGTATAAATCGACTCTTTATTTTTGATTATAAGATTCCAAATTTCTGGTATGCCTGGTGTATAAGTTGACCACTGAAAAAAAAATCAAGTGTAAAAATTTCTAAAATTAAAGAAAAAACAAAGAAAATAAATAAATTATTATGTCTTTAAAATTGTCACAAGTTAAAAGTATTTTTCATCAAAAACAGGAAATTTCCACACTGCTGTTATAGATGTCATGTGTCAAATGATACTAAACGCATTGCAAATTATGGATTTAAATGTTATTGTAAAATTCGTAACAGAATGTGGAATTTCAAATTCTTTGGGTGGGGATGAATCCATTTTTTCGTGGGGTATAGCAGATGAGGACTATGTAGAATCCATTACAGAGTGGAATCCGTATAACAACACCTGTAACATTACTGAATCCAACATAGTTGATGTTCTGGAATATTTAAATTTGTAGCTTTTTGTGTATGTTTTAAATTTTTTTATTGTGTTATATGTTTTGAAACACTTTTGAATAAATTATCTTATCGTATTTTTAATAGTTTTCTAAACATAATATAAAGTATTTTTTTCTGAAAGAACTTTATATGTAAGGAAAATTTCATGAGGGAAAATGCAAAGTTAATTGTATATATAGTATGTTGAAAATAATTTTTGAAATAGGTTAATTGATACAGAGTTATTCATATTTATCCTAATTGTTTTTAATCCATCCATATTACAGATCAACGAGTGTTCAATTTTATTACCATTGTCTAAGTCAATATGCTAATTTTTGTAAAATTGTAGGGTTTGAAAAGTTGACTTATTCACTGATGTATTCGGCGATTATTTAAATTTTAACTTCTAATTTTGAGTTTTCTATCAAAGCTTTAATTGCTAATTTCTTCTTTTACATTAAGGTTCAACCTTCTGAAGGTAATATGCCATCTTCTGCCAGTGTTGATTTACCGCCTGTGCATATATCAGCTGAGTACATTCAAGATCCTACCTCTACTAATACAACAACTAATAAATTAGAATCCTTTACTGACGGTGTAGTTCTGTGCCAAGGAAGTTATCTGAGCGCTTTAGCCGAAATTGGATCCTTTGAACATAGTTTAACTACTGACCTCCTCAATCATTTAGTTCTTGTTCAGAAAGTTTTTATGAAGGTTAAAAACTTTATTTTTATTATGATGTGTTTTTCTCATGGCTGTGATGTATTTTGTTTATATTTCTTATGCTTCATGTGGCAAGGGGTTTAACATATTGTGTTCCATGATTGAATTCGTGAAACTCATATATTTTTTTTTTGAAATTTAAGTAAATAACAATATTTGTAGAAGGAAAAACAATGTTTTTGTTTTGATTATAATTGTTATGTTTATTTAATTGAAGTCATTGGCCTTTAATAATCTCGTCATTATATTATAATCATTATATATCGTCATTTATTCTGAATATATACATAAAAGTCTGAAATAACAACAATTCATAATAGCTGATGATATTGTCTTTATAGCGAGCTCGCCGTTATAAGAAAATACACACATTTAATGTTAAAATAAGCAACAAAAGACTTAATGAAATAGACATATTTACCTCTCTTTATTTTATTTTAGACTTCCAATTTGATATAAAATACATACATGTAGAGTAGAGGACTTTTGTCTACAGGCTGTAGGCTGAATTACATTGCTCTCTACTTTTACAAATGGCAAAAATTTCTGTAACCGGATTGTTTGACGACAAAAATTCGCAGCAAGTTTATACAAGAGGAAAATCAAATAAAGTTCATTACCTTTGGAAGATTTTGATAACAGTGAATGTTATTTTATTTGTAAGTTTTCAAGAAAGGAAATAAGGGGCTATGATAAATGAGTGGTAAACAAAAGGCTGATTCTTTTGAAGTGCGCTGTAGGGTTTTTAAAAATAGAGGAAAAACTTTTATTTTGCTGGAAAATAACTTAGCTGGTTGTCGCCCTAACATTGATTTATAAAAATAAAGGAACAAAATAGTAAGAAAGCGATATTCATTTTTCTTTTTTTCTCTATTAATACCAGAAATAGATAAAAAATGTCTTCAATTTAAATCTTTTTCATGTATTATAGTTAATTTCCCCTCTCTGGCTGTGTAATTTTTTTATTAAAATAGATTAAAAATTGCATATTTTTATTACATTATTTAAATCCACATATATTTTAAAGTTACAAAAACAATTTGTCGAGTTTTTTCTTCTTTCAAAAGTGAACTAGATAATGAAAAATGGCTATCATCAAATTGAAATGGGAGAATAATCATATAGAAGCAAAATTGTGAGAATTAATCTTTGTTAAATTATGATTTATTTGATTAAGTACTAAGGTAAAACGTATATACTAATGAAAATATGCAAAATACTTAGTAATCATTCATTATAAAATGAATTTCATCAGATTTATCACTATCTGCAGAAGAATCGGTGAAGTTATTATCAGTTTTGCTATAACTATCTTCTATACATTTGATATCAGAGTCAGAACTGCTATCAGTGTCAATGAAATATTGTTAGGACTTTAAGTTATATCACTCCTTAAGTGCTTCGTGTCAGGCATTTTTGAGCCTTAAAGAGAGAGTGCAAAATGCTGCAAAATATGCATTTATATTTCACAGAAATATGGACAGCTGATGCGTAAACATTGCATAAAAGCCGAAATGAAACGATATAGGGAAATGAGCTGGAGGTTTCACAATTAAATAGACTAAAAGATGCATTCTTGCAGATTGCGCAAACTTTGTTACTTCTAAGTTGCCTGTGAAAATTGCATGATAAGCCTGAGAGGGTTAAACAGCAGAAAAATGTATTTTCTTAAAATTTTATGTAATAATAGTGGGTAGCTAGTAATTTCGAACTTGTTAAAAAACTTGCAATTATTGCATCTTTTATATTTCTTTGACAGTGATTTTAAAATTTATTGTAATATCAAATTTCTCGCATATCAAGCTTCTACCTGAATCCTGTTAGCATAAGCGCAGTTCCTTCTTTTAAATATTTACAATGACAGCACAAATGAAAGATTTAGTAGATAATATTTCTTTTCCAGTCTGACTTAAAAACAAGTTAGTTTAAAATTCAGGAGAAAGGTTTTAATTCAATTTAGTTTTTAACTGCTACTTTTGCATTTATAATTATACTCCTATTATTGTTTTATGACTAAACCTTATGCAAATTGCTTTATTATTCATTCCATGCTAAACTTCTGTACACTTTTAGGAAGTTAATGAAGTTGTGCAGAAAATGTCAGGTGCTGACAAACCAATTTCTTTGTGGAGTGAAGTTGAGAAGTCAACTCATATGAGACCCAGAAGACTGCTGTTTTCTCTCCTTTTGCGTCTAAAGGTATCTTTTCAAATTATGCATCATTGTATTCATTTTGCTATCAAATGATAAATTAAATAATAATTTAAAGTTTAACATTTTTAAAGTCAAACTTAGTTAATAATTAATTTTAAATAAACTCTGGATTTTGCTAATTTTGTTGCATTTGCAAGTTAAATGTGTAAATTAGTTTTAGTTATATCATATGAAAATGTTTGTCATAGGCTGTTTGTTGCTCAGGGGTCGACAGATTGGGTGATCTCTCAGGGTCACCAAAAATCAGTTGAATTCATAAGTTCATTCATGTGAATTAAATTTTAATTATCAAAATTAGAACTATATATATATAGTATATAATAGTAGTTACTTTTATTTAAATTTTCCTTTTTATTGAATTTTTTTTAAAGCAATAATAAACAGCCTATTTCCATTCTAATACCATACCTAAAGGTAAGGAGAATCTATTTTATATCTTTAAACAAAAATTATTGAGAACATTATGAAAGTATTTTGGAATTTTATTAATTGATCTATGGTAAATTGGTCTAACTTTTATGCCTTTTAACATTAAAATTCAAAGTTTCCTATAATATTTAAATTACCAGTAATAATATGTTTATTACATTTATCAACAAATTCAAAATATTTCTCTTGTTTACAGTGACATTCGTTAAAAAAATGTAACACCTGTGTAATTATCTACTTAATAATTACCTAACCTACTAGTAATTACCTACTAATAATTACCTAACTATAATTTAAGTTTTTAGCAGTTTTTTTTAGTTTTTTTTTAAAACTTTTGAATTAAATGGTAAAAATTGTTTAAATGACTTAAAGTTAATATGACTACAGAAATACTTTTAATAGGATTTATACATGAAATATGCATTTAAGGAAATGAGTACAGAATTCTTATATTAAATATGTATTTTAAAAAAAATATTTTAGGGTATTCAAATAACAGCTACAACACCTACTAGCAGTGCAGTGCGGCTTGAAACAGGAGCTGTAGAACTACAACTATCCAATCGAGTTCAAAATATGTCATCTAGCTGTCCATATACCGGTATTCCATTTTATTTTATGATATTTTTTTAGTATACTTATTTTGTAATTTAGATTCTTAAAATTTAACTTTGTGTTATTCAAGAAGTTATTAAGTATTATTTGTTTATGTTTATTTTTGTAGGTAATTACATCAAACTTTTTGGCAAGGCTCAAGTTGATGTCAACCTTGCTTTAGGACAATTGATTAAAGTAATTTTTTTAATTAATCTTTCTGTTATTATTGTTATTACCTTACACCAGCTTATATACTAATAAAAAAGAGTATCTTAACATTCTATTTCATTTTTTAAAAAAAAATTACAAAATTGCCTGACTAGATAAATGTTTTTATGTAATTAGTACAAACTGAAATTTTGCCAAATATGATTTATAAGCTACATACAGTTATTTTGACTGTTAAATGTAGCTGCTGGGAAATATGAAATTCAAATTTCTGGAAATGTTTAGGCAGTATTCAAGACGAGACAATTTTATATAACAAAATATTTACACTGAGTATTATATTTATTTAAACTTCTTAAAATTTAAATATGTTTACACGATATTCTGAAAAAATGTAATTTGTTTCTTACATCTGTTTACCTCGTAAAAGACAATTGAGTGATAATATAGGCATTGAGTAAATAGATGGTGGGATACTATCATTTTTATTGTAATTAAATAAACTAAATACTTTGCAATTAACTCTCTTTGTAATTGAATACTTAATTGTTAAAAAATTTTCCTCAAAAATTTGTTTCTACAAGCAATTAGAGAGAATGCAATGAATGATTTTTAGTTTATAGTTATAAAATTTTTTTCTCTTTAGAATGCTTTGTTTGAAGAAGCAGAACCAGAATTTCAGCAGTTTGCTTATTTTAAAACAAGAATTTGCATGAGAAATGCTCTTCAAGTAAGATTATGGTTATTAAACTCTTTTAATTAACTAATATATTTTTATGTTTTTAGACTTGTATGAATATGTTCATTTGCATTTGATATTTATAGAAGAGATTTATCGTTTTCTGTCTAGACATAAGTATTGATTCTTTAAACTGTAAACTCTTAAATCGAATTTATTTATTTACTTTATGTATGCAGTTTTTATAAATAAAGTTAATGACAAGTCCTACAGTAACGTTTGACTTAAATTTTTATATTTAATTATACAAGTGAAATATAATTTACTACTATTTTTATTGGAGGGAACAAATAAAAGTAACTTCCTTTTACGTTTAATGTGCTTAGCAACTTCATTTTGTTTCTGACTAAACAGTATTTAACATTGAAAATATTGTATTGTCTAATTGTGAATGTTATTAGTATTTCTTTACTTGTACGCTAAAAATTTAAAATTTGTATTATTCTGCCCACTGATGAGCTAAATTCATCAAGAAAGTTTAAATGATACCATCTACTTGAGTATAGGTTATATTAAACCTTTTAGCTTATTTTTATTCAATATTCTTAAATGAAAATCAATAATATACATTATAATTAAAGAAAATTGTTCAAAATGGGTAATAGTAAGTTAACTTGTGCATGGCACGAGTTCATCATGAACAGACCAGTCTTATATTATTAACTATAATACATGAAGATCACATTATTTTGATCTATTTTATGAGAAAGCTTAAGTTGTAAAGTTCAATTTTGCTGAACTAAGTCTGTCTGATAATTTTATATTAAATTATAAAATCTCATAATTATATATTATGTTACTATTTTTACCTTCATTTTTCGGATTCACCAATTTTTCCTTCTTATCCAAATCCATTTTAATGGTTTTAATTTATAGCTTTTAACCCTTTATGGGCCAAAAACAATTTGAGCTAATTAATGTAAGAATAAGAATTAAGAATTATGGCTATGGTAATGTAATAAGAGTAAGAATGGAAATATGGTATGGTATGGTAATAAGAATAAGAATTATGGCTATGGTATGCACATTCAAAATAAAGTGACCTGCATTATGTTCATGTTTTTCAAAATGTAAAGTTATTGATTGAATATATTTTGAGGGATAAAAACTAAACTCAGTGGTGCGACAGCCCATCGAGGGCCAAGGCCTACCTCAGTTTTCTTAACCTTGGGCTCTGAGGTGCAGGAGCAGATGTTCCAGTTGAGTGGTCAGCCAAATGCGGAACCCCCAGGGTTTAGTTCCCAAGCAATGCTTGGTACTCATTTATCGACCCACTGAAGGGATGAGCGGCTGATTTTAAGAGATAAAGGCTATTACAAATTTAGTAGTTTACATTAATGTTAAGTAGTATATATAGTACATGTAAATCAGTAGAACAATTTTTCTCCTGCTCCTGAAAGGTTTAAATAATTTTGGTGTTGAAAAATAAAAGTTCCATATAGCTGCAACATTAATTTTTAACACTTTTCAAATTTTAATTTTGTTGGCATACTTGATTAAGTTTTTTTTTCTTCAATGGAATCATATAATGGTCTTTTTTTTTTACCTTAAAAAGGATGAAATGATTTCAAGTCATTCAGACGACAAAGAAGCTGTTTTAATCACCTTAAATAGACCATTGATATACATTCAGCCTATTGCGCTTGATAAAGGTAACTACTTTGTCTCAAATTTAATTTATATTTATATCTTTCCATCATAGTCTTTCAATGATAAGTAAATATAGTATATGTGCTTGAAGCATTTGATTGTCTTATTTTTTACTCTTTTATATTTCCAGCTGTACTGGTCTGGCTTAACTATAAAAATGCATATGAATACTGGAATGAACAGAGAGCCAGTCTTAATAAAGAGGTTAGTATGTTTTGATGTGTTTGTTCAAAACATTTTTATTACATTTAAGATAAAAGTTTTTCTTTACGAATTTTTTCTTTCTTTAGGTTTTGACTGCAACTCAACAAGTTTTTGAACGAGTTCCTCAAATATCACAATTAGGCTCACAAGCTTTAGGGACTTTGTTTCTTCAATTAACTGTTGACGATATGGGTATTTGTTTGCCTCTCAATCCATATGCTGGTGTGAGTATAATTTTATTTTATAATATACTTTCTTGAGTTTAAATTATTATATAAGTTTATAATCACCTTTTCCCAAACGCACTTTTCTAGCTAGCTAGCGCTATCAATAAATTAAAAAAGCTAAACTCAGTGGCACGATAACCCATTAGGAACCAAGGCCTACAGTGCCCATCCCAATTTTCTTGACCTTCAGCTCTGGGGTGCAGGAATAGATGTTCCAGCTGGGTGATTAGTCAATCGTAGAACCCCCAGTGTTTAGTCCCCAAGAATGATTGGTAATTTATCAACTCACTGGAGAGATGAAAGACCAAGTAAACCTGTCCCGGTCCAGGGATAGAACCTGTGGCTCAGGAGTGGAAATCGCTACCATTCAGCCACCGAGCCTTTATCACTGAACTTATCCTAATGTATTTTTCAGTGTGTCCAGCATGCATAAGTTGAATGTATCTAAAAATTTATATCATATTACTCTAGTTTCAAAGAAAGGGTGGAGGATTGATTTCGACATATTTTTTTATTTTAAATATTTCCGTTATATTAACAAGTAATTTTATTGTGGAAATGACATATTAAAATTTGGATAACTTGTTTTGAAAAGTAATGATTTAAATAAAATAAAACTTCAAAAACTCAAAGCATTATCAAAGCCAAAAATATGGGTGGTTGGTAACAATTTAATATTGAAATATTTATATATTTATATATTTTTTTTGTTTATGATTATTATATGTTTTAGAACAAGCACAAAATAATAGTAGATATTTTATTTAAAAGAACGTTATTGGTCAGAATATTTCATGGAATGAAGTCTTCATTGGAATAAAAAAAAATAGAAAAATATTAAATGTGAAAGGCCAGGAGTCAAAATTGACTTGAGTAATAGTTAACATTTAAGTTATAGAAGTTTGACGATATTAGGTTATGATATTTCATCCCTTTTTAGTTTTTGTCCCTAGAAATATTTAGATATCTTTTATGTGACTGAAAGATAATTTATTAAAATTTTGAATTAAATCAATAATATATAATTGGGATGTAAGAAAAATATCAGACTCGTAATGTTATTGAAGTTTTGTTACTGACACAATAAATGAATCAGTTTCAGATATGCTTAAAAAACCATAAATGCAAATAAGCTTACATTATATTCTTGTGGGATTTTTGTAACATCTGATTCATCTTTTCTTGTCTAGATCTTTTTTAAAAAAAGCAATCCTTATTTCTTATATTTATAGCAAATATTATTAGAATTTAAAATGTATGATTAATAATTGCACATTTAGTTATATTTTCAACTTTTGTTTTCTTTTTGCCAACAGAAAAAAGATGGATATAAAAAAGTACGTATTTCTGCAGTTAAAAATTATTTTTGAAATTAAACATTAAATATATTTCAATAACTACTCTCTAGGGTGTATCACAGAAAACTTTTTTTTTTAAATTCAAAATTTCAAATCTGTAGAAAATTATCATTTAGATCACATGTTTACCTAAAAAATTTATATCCTAACTTAAAAAATATTTAGGTCTACAAAAATCTATTCCATATTCATATTTTTAAAACAAATTTAAAATTTTTCCTACTTTTGACTTTAAGGAAAAGGGAACTTTATGCCCATTTCGAAAATCCTAAGTATATTTCAGTTAAGCTACAAATTATTTGGTAATTATGTGACCCAGTTACAAAACCTTTTTATTGATCTACTACACCATAGAAAAATTCTATTTCTTCTTCTTTATTTGTAGAGCATGCAGTAAGTATTTGTATTCATTATTGTTGCACTTGGTTGGTTCGCAAGTTTTGAAAGGCGATAATAACCAATACTGCACTAGATGATAAATAATTTGCACTATTAAGAGAAAATATTTAAAATTAATTAATCGAAACTTAAATTAGAGAAAATAAAAATTTAACTTGTGAAGTTGAAAGACAAACTGTTAATAACGGAGAAATCAACTATTTTTAAAAAATTTTAATAATTTTATCTGCAATTTTTTTAAATGTTTGGTTAATTTTTGTCTGCAAGGCCAAAACAAGTCTTAAAAAAAGTTTTTGATGATACCTTGTGTCCTTAATTTATCTGATTCATAATTATCTTATATATATATTTTGTGACTTTTTTTTTTAAAAAAAAAAATTTTATTGTCAAAATTTATTTTAGAATGTAGCCAATAAAATGTATGATACTGAACTGAAAGCAGCAGTTGTTGTAACATTGGAAAGTACAAGGATTTCTGCTTGTTCTTGTGGCTCTCTAGTTAGTAAAGCAAAGTTTACAGGTATGTTAAGGCTTTTTGTAACGTGTGGAATAATAAACATGTATATTACATTGCACTACTTTATATTTACTTTTCTCTTTCTAATTTTAAGCTTGATTTTTTTATATGTATCTATAAATTTTATTTGTATGGAAAAGCAAAAGTTTTAATTGAAAATGTTTAAATATATGTTATTTTACATCGATTTAATGTATTGAAAAAAAAGCTTAAATATTAAATATTTTCTCATCTAAAAGTAACTTTTTTCTAAGGAACTAAACTAATGAATTCTATTTACTAAGGAGGAATTTTGTGTATTATTGAACTCTAAAATGGCATTTTTGTATTACAGTTAGATTAAATTATATTTGGCTACCTTGACTTATATATATATATATGAGGGTCATTTTTTAAGTAAGAACCTGTTATGTAATGGAGTAAAAGAAACTTTATATATGAATGTAAATTGAATCATAAACTAAAATAGGAGCATTTAGTCACTTTTTAACATAGTACCTTTTTACATTGAAACATTTGTACAGTCGTGGCACCAGCTTTTAGATCTCATCAAAGAACTCTGCCGCCAGATCGTTTAACCAGTTTAGTAACACTGTCCTTCAGCATGCCCTCATTTTCAAGTTGGTATAACAAATAAATTCCTTAAGCTTCAGAAACAGGCATAAGTCTGATGGTGCTAAATCCTTCTTATTCATGACTATAAGCCGTCCAGATTGCTCTTTATTATCATAAAGCCTATACTATTTATGCACATTTCCATCATTCATTACACTTTCACCATAATCTTTAACATGCTGCTAGTGAGTTTAAGCATTATGAACTTTTATTGCATTTAAAAGCCAAATAACTGAACTCACTTCACAATCATCAGGATTATTTATTGACATGGTGGCAAACAAAGCAGTATATACCTACAGCCTATACCAGCAGAGACTTAAAATGAAATAATCGCTTAGGGAGATACTTGACAAGAGTTGTCGAACTTGAAGTGACGTCACTTGACAGGGTGAGCAGGCATGATGAGCAATTTGTTTTTACTTTAAAAATGACCCTTGTAGTTAAGTAATGACTTAGTATTTATTAAACATTATACATTTTTGTTCAAAATGAATTTGAAACAGTCTTTTAGATTGATTAAATATTTCCTTCAAGAGCATTTTAGGGGAAATTTTTTTTCTTCATAAATATCTATTTGTATTTTGTTTGTAACATTTTATTTCATTTCTAAAATTTTTTTTTAGAATTTGTTACAAAACTATTAGATTAACTTCTCGATATATTGATATATCGAATATTGTTTCATTTGATGAAGTGTAGCTGGTTCTGGATCTTGCGCTATTAAATTAAAGTTCAATTCAACTCAGTTGATTTAATAAATATGTAATTTTTTAATTTTTAGTTCAAAGATTTCCTCTTTTACTTCTTTGGTTATAAATTTAACTAGTTAAAATTCATAATAAAGAGAGTTATTTACCAATTTGAGCTGAGATGGCTCATTAGTTTAGGCACTGAACTGTCATTGTTAAGAACTAGAGTTTGATCCTCAGTGGCAGTTTGAAGCCTGTCTAGCATCAGATTGATGGAAATCAGTGTTTGTTTGGGAAATAAAAGGAGCTTGTGAATTGTGCTGATCACATTGCCACTATCATGCCATTTATGAAGTTGTGGAGCTTTAAGCTCCATGACCCCCCTACTCCACAAGGAGCTGTTATGGGAATAATTTTTTATTTACCAATTTAAATTAGTTATTATTATTTTAACTGTTGTTAAATTCATTTCAATTCAATTTTTTTATTATTATTTGTTAGGCTTATAAAACAATGTTATCCTGATTAAAGATGAGATAAACTTTAGCTATTGTAATTTTTTAAAAGTAGCATGTTGCATTTTTATACTAGAATGCAAAGTTTTAAAAATGGGAGAAATTTATTTTTTAATTATTTTCCTAGGACTGTGTTTTAGATTTGCTGATGACTTTGAAACGTCACTGGATGATTGGAAACCAGATCCAACAGATTCCAATATTATGAATTTATGCGTGGTTTCAGAAGGGACCTATGAAATTTGTTCCAGAACAGTTGCTCCTCAAGGAATTGGTACCAATTATTACATTTTAGTTACACAATTTTAATATATTGTTATTTTAAATGTTTTTTTTTTAATTTTATAATAATATAGTCTTAATATTAAAATTAAATTTATAAATTTATTTTACTAAAGTTTATGAAAAGACTGGTCAGAATCTATAGTGCAATAAAGCCACTGTAATGTTGTTTCCATTTAGCGACCAGATTACTTGTATTTCATTTAGAGTATTCCCTTCACTTTATAATGTAAGCATTTGATTTGAATATCTCTTAACATATTTTTTTTAATTTATTAATAGCTAATGCAAAGTGGATTTTGAACGTCCAATGGCAAATGGAAGGTGTAGATATACATTTAGACACAAATATTGGGAAGCAGTTGTCTGCGTTATTTAAAACATTAACAGCTATTACAGGCGTTGAAGATGAAAATGATGGCATGGATTATATGGATGGGGGTACTGAAGATGCAAATCATCATGGCCCTTGTGTACAGGTTTGAAAAGATACTTTAATAATGATTATGACTGTATTAATATTGATATACCTAATTATAAAACAGATATTTTTATTGTATAAAAAAGCTTTTTGTTTTATTTCTGGCAAAATTATTGAAATAAAAATATAACATATTCTGTACACATATATGCTAAATGTTTCAAAATAACGTGATCAAAATAAAGGAATAAAGCAGGCTGATAAAAAGAATTTCCAAAAAATCACATTGTAACTTGGAGTCATAAAATACTCCAGATCCAGTGAAAGTGGTTGCAAATTAACATACTAGGACAATAAATGATTTTTGTTCTACATTATTTTATTTATACTTTTATTTTGACACATGTTCCACCGTTGTAACCAATACTATGACAGAAAATCATCAAAGTTTTTGCCGAATGTCTGCAGACAGCTATTAGTGAAATGATAATTGATCTCTTTTCTCTAACCAATTATGTTACATCAATGATACCAGGTTCATCTCAAACGCACCTTCCTACTGCAACAATTCTTTCCAGAATTAAACAGATGGTTTGTAAATAAGTATTTTTTTTTTTTTAAAAAAACTCATAAAGTCTATAGAAGACAAATTTGATAATCATGGTACTTTTAGATTAGAACTCTTCTTTTCATCAAAGCATTCTAGTGGCTCCAAATATTGTTTGCAAACCCATGTTCCATTTTGACTTTTAATTCTTTTTGTTTGCTTAATTTCATTTAAGCTCTGTTGTTTAGAAACACCCTATATAAGGGCTGGGATAGCCTGATTGGTAGGGCCCATGTCCAAGAGGTCGTGGGTTCGATCCTCTTTGGCCGAAGACTCCCTGTGTAGTAAATGGTGGCTGATGCACACTAAATCTGTCAAGTCACAAAGTCCTCCATGTTCCCATAACAAATCAATACCTCTGAGGGTACTGATCAAGGAGTTCCCTTGTCTGTTGCCTTGATTGGTTCAAAATTACAAGGCTACAGAGTTGAACATTAGTAGTTGTAAACCCAAAATTGGTTCGACCGATCAACGACGTATATAAAATAAAATAAAACACCCTATATACAACATATACAGGAGTTAAGATTTTAACATATTATTCATTTTCTATGAAACTAATGTTAATGAGATTGATAATGCGCTAAGACAAAAACCTAGGTACAATAAAATTTACTTTATTATCTTTTGATAGTCAGTTATGGAAAAATGAGGAACATTGTAAAAGGGTTCATATAAATATATGTCTGATTTTTATAAGCTGTAACAAGTGTGCTAAAGCATGATAGTTAGTCAGTCTCTTGGATTATACTGCCACATCTTTATGCTTTCTATCTAATTAAAATTAATATTCCTATTTTCTGTGGAATAGATTTATTTATAGATTAGATTTTATAATTAGTCTTTAATATTTCATAATAAATAAATTAAAACTATTAAAAATGCATTTAGTAGATTTAACCTTATAGTTAGGGAGTTGTTCATGAAATTGTGAGGAACCCTTCTGGCCTACAATGAACTGTTGTGTTGCTTAAATCGTATTAGTTAAAAATTCCCAAATTTGATAAATTGATTTTTATGTCTAATTTTATACTATAATATTTTAATATTTTGTACCAAAGAATCAAAGAAAGAAAAGCATCCTATAAATTGGGTCTATATAAATCATACTACTATCTACTTGTACAATAATATCTACTTGTGAAATTTATTTAAGAGTTTTATACAGTATTAATAATATTATTATTTTATTATGTTTTATGAATGCTCAAGAAACGTAAACTATGTAATGATTGATTGGACAGAAAATTGAAATAAAAGAATTAGTGTTCAATAAAATATAATATTCTTACTTAAGAGGAACTTAATGAGCACAATGATCTTACTACTATTTTGTTTCCCAATGAATATGATGGTTAAATAATATGGTTCATAAATTATGTGGTTCATAAATTACATGGTGAAGTGAATAATATGGTTATTTGATTTAGAAAGCTGAGAACACTTATTGTTGATTATGTTGTATGAAACTAACCAACTTTCTTTTACTATGCATCTTAAGTGGACTACTGTTTTCACTTTTGTATCAATTTTTTCAGTTTTCTTTTTAAATTTTAATTAGGAACCTGTGATTGCTAGGAAAGGCAGTACTTTTGTAGAAACGCTGCCACCTTTAATTTTGGATCCCAGCTTAGATGCTAAAAAGAGATCAAGACTCATTGAAAAAGAAATGAATGAACAAGCTAAAATAATAAATGATCTGAGGTAAGAAGAAATCTTAAATAATATGAGATACCTGAAACAAAATACATAGCCAATTCACATATTTATTAACAGAAGGGGTGAAAATAAATATTTTAAATAGTGTTAACTGTAGTTAGATGCTAAAAATTTTTTTTCTTTGTTGGAAGGAAAAATAAAATAAAATAAAAATTGTTATTTAAAAATGTTAGTAAATAGCATTTTTACAACAAATTATTTTGAAAGATTGTTTGTTTAAAGTATAATATTTAGAAAAATTTGTAGTATTTTATTAAACCTATTATTTTACTGTACTATCAACTTATATAAAGTGATAAAAAATTTTGTATTTCAGTTGTATTTGATCACCAAAATCAAATAAAATATTTTTTTTGTTATTTTTTGATTAAAAATTAATTTTTTAGCTCTACGAAATTTAAGTCTAATGCAGCATATTTCCAATTCAGAAAAAAACTCTCAACTCAGCCTTATTGTGTTCCTTCATTTTGTGACACTCATTACACATATTTATCCTTTCAGATTGCTTGGTGCTAGTCAAAGCACTATTGAGCAAGAAGTACGCCGTCTTCATGAGTTAGAGACTGCTGTATTCAATGATTTTAGAAGGGATGTCATTAAAAAGCTACGCAGACAAAGTGTAAAGGTAATACTTCTCTTACATTGATGTAGATTAGAGGAGGAAAAACAGTATAAATAGCTTTTGATTTAATGCTTCATATTTACATATCTTTTGAATGGTATACGTAAACTATGCTGATTAAAAAGGACTAATGTTGAGATTAGGTAAAAAGTTAGGCACAGAAACAGTTATTTTTTTGCATCTTTTTTTATGAATTCACCAATCTAAAGAATAAGAGAGCAGCCAAAGTTATTACAAAACAATAAAACATTTTTTATCATCTGTTTTAATTGTTTTCATTTTTGTATGCATAATCTCTAATCTGAAATAGAATTGTTTGTTAAAAAAAAGTTTTACCTCTTCAATCAGCAGCATATCAATTATAATTATTAAATATTAATATGACTTAATTCAAAAACTGATATCCCCCAAAGAACAGTTTATTATAAATTTGCAAATTAGTTTTATTTTTTAATAACTTGTTTTTTTATTATTTTAAAATGAAAGTTTTTATTTGTAATTCAAATTTTTCCAGTGGATTTAAAATGGAATATCAGAAAAATGGCGCATTCAGTTTCTTAATTAACTTTTTTCCTTATTAAATGATTTTGAAACTTTTGACTTTTAACCCTGAATATACTACTATTAAATTCTCAAAATCATTTTATTTTTGCTTGCATATTATCTGAATATTAAGATAACTTTTTTCTGCAATACAGTTTCTCAGTCCTTGAGCTTAATGAGAAGAAAATTCTGAAGTTTTATTCCTATAATTTTATCTGCTAATAATGTTCTAGTAACTTATTAATTAGTAGAAAATGAAATATCACTTAACACTTAATGAACGCATAATGTCATTCGTTTTGAAATATTTATGTAAAATTAATTCACATTAAATTTTTGTTCTATTTAAGTTTTTTTTAAAGAACTGAACATTGTCTAGGAAATAAAATTATATGTTTATTAAAGTCTTACTTTTAAATTTCTTAATTTTTCTAGAATTTTTAATTAAATTAGTTTAAAATTTAAATTTGAATGTAAAAAAGGGAAATTTGTCAATACAATGTGAACATTTGCGAACCTAATTTTTTTTTTTTTTATGTTTAATAAATTAAAGATAAAAAATTTTATGAAATTATGTATGTAAATACAACTAGATAAACTTGTTTTATAATTGTATTTAGAATGAGCCCATAAATGCAAAACTTTTAAACTTTATATTTAGTTTTTTAATTCTGTGTTACTGATTATTTTTGTAATTGTTTAATGAGGATAATTATGTTGCTTGAGAATTAATTATTGAAAATGTTATTGTAAATTTTTTTCTATAGATTTTAAATTTAATATAATTTATGCAGTTAACTTGTGTTGCATGATTGTTCAAATGTTTAGTTTGATATCAATTTGATGGCATTTTTTTTGTACACAAAATTTTACTAATAAAGTTTCTTCTTAAAAAATAACTTGAAAAAAAACATGTGTTTCGAGTTCTGTTATTTGTCTTGTGAAATAAAAATCTATTGAACTCAAATTTCCATTTCTGGTAATAATAGGCAGAATGTGTATATATAGAGATAGTATTTTGATGATCACTGCTTATTTCAGTTGTTATTTAAAAGATAAATGTTTACTATTTATCTTTAATCCTAGCAATTATGTTTGTTGTTTAACATGCCGTCTTTCAATTTATTTAAAGACTAATGTTTACAATTATATGTATATATTTTTAATACTTCTTTTAATTTTTTTTTCCATCTTAACTAGGCCACTTCATTTAAAGACAAATTAGGATTAGGAACTCGGTCAACTGCTGGTCCCTTACAATCCATATCATTGTTTTTCCCTGATGCTGAAGAAAGAGCTGAAATTGGGTAACAAATAAAAAAAAATCATTATAATCTATTTCTTCTATACTGTTCCAAAAATTTCTTACTTATTTTAATTCAGTAAATTTATTTTAAATGCTCTAAATATAAATTTTAACTTATTTAAACAAATTATATCTCATTAATTTTATGAATAAAATAAGTAAATCAAGTTCTAACTACATAGAATGAAAAACAGGCATTAATGTGTTGAGTAATTTTATTGCCTGCAACTTTTTAGACCTCACAATGAATAAGTTATTCATTTTATATATTTATGAAAAAAAACTAAATATGACTATAATATATTTTTAGTTTATTTTAAAAGTTATATATATTTTATATTAGTATAATAAGATTATTTTTAATGTTCTTATTATTGATTATTTAGAGTTTCTTATACTATGATCTGATTATCTTTAGATTATATCAATTTAATAAAAATTATTTACCCTCTTACTTTAAAACATCGAACTGTTTCAATACATAGGTGCACCCACAGGTTTCAATAAACAGGTTCAAACAAAATATATATTATATTGATTTAAAAAGAAGAAAAATTCATTAATTAATATAATTTTTAAGAATTCAAATGCTTTTATAATATTAATTAATGTAAAAAAATTTGCTTTGCCTCAGAACCATCCTCAGTGCCTCAATTTTAGTCCATTTATGTACTTTCATTTGTGCTTTGTTTATGTTGTTTTTTGCTTTAGTCTACATAGCACAAAGTATACCTTATCCTTTGTTAAATGTGACATTACTTAAACGATATGATTAAAATAATTCAAACACATTTGTTTAGAATTTTATTTTAAAACGCATTTTGAATTGTGCACCATTTTTAATTATGATTTGTTTTAAAGACCCTACTTTTTACATTTAAAGTTGAAATTTTAGAAAAAATGTATTAATCTATTTTAAAATCATGATATGATCTAGATATGTTCAACTATGACAACTGGTTTTTAGTAGCTTAAATAAGACTAGATAGATATTTTTTTTTATCCTCTTGCAATATATTTATACTCATAAACAAATTAGCTTTACATTTCAGTTTAGTCAAAATAGTCCTGTTTTGCCGAAAGTGCTGGTATTTTTGTTACTAAGTAAATTAGTTCTAAAAGTCCTTTGCCAGTACACTACTCTTTTGATTATTTTTTTAAATGTTTCATTTCATAAGTAAATAAACTATTTTGTTAAAAAAANATACATAAGTAGCTAAAATGACGATTAGAGATGGAGTACACAAAGGTTTAGAAAGGGCCCCGGCAAAAATTTGAGCCCCAGGGCCCCGAAGGGTGAAGTTACGGCACTGTGCTGAGGTATGCTGTTTCAGAAGTTTTAACTGGAGTGTGACTGATATTTTTGTATGACAAAGTGATTTCATTGAAATTGATTTTTAGTGATTTCATTGAAATTTACATTCTACTTATTTGTTAAATAAAAACTGATATGTAAGAATAAAGCATTTTTAAATTTCAGCCAAGATGATCCGATTCCGACCCCAAGCAGTAAAGAAAGTTCTCCAAGTCATGCTCATACTAGAACAGGGTCTCTGGATATGTCAGATTTACCAAATCTTGCCTTACCTGAAAAGTCTGTTCATAGGTATGTCTACTTTTTATGATCATTGCTTTAAATACAATTGATTTCTTCACATTTTGAATATCTGCAAACCTATTCAGTCCATAATAATTTCAGAAATTAAATTAAGTTGTAAGTTTATGTTCCAAAGATGTCCCAGAGTGGTCTGATCGTAAGGCAAGGTTCCCAGTTGATCACCAAAGTCAAGCATCACTGACTGTGGTCAGTGAGCGGAAGGTGACCTTTGATCAGCCTGCGATGGGACCGAGTATCGGTCCTCGTTAAAATGTTCTACCATTGAGTGCTTGACTTCGCATGCAGGTCATCAATCTACTAAAGTTGTGGAGCCATCCTCTCTGCAGAGGACCATTGCCAATAGTTCATTTTTAACAGTTTTGAACTGTGATAAATCTTATTAAGAAACACCTTAGAAATCATTTAAGTTCAACCATTTAAAATTTCAATAATTTCTATTTCTAAATTTCAATAACAAAAATTTAATTTGTTCTTTATAATCTCTTAAATATTCTTTTAAAAAATATTCAGTCTCTTAAATTTTTGTTCTTATTTTCATTAATTTCAATTTCTGATATAAATTTATGAGAATGTAGATCAGTGGTTACCAACTGGCGGCCCGAGGACTGCATCGGGCCCATAATGCCTTTTTTGTGGCCCCGAATATTAGTTGTCATTTTTTTGCCGACAATTTTCGTAAAAAATCTATATGGATTTAAAATACTTTTCTTTTGTTAAAAAAACCCTACTTTTTTCGTTTCTGTGAAATTTACCATACCAACGGTGCAAAAAATTTATTTCTCAGGTTTTGAATCTAAGAAAATATTTATTTAAATGCAAAAATAATCATGTATGTTGCTCTTTTTAATTTAGTTTTTTGTTTTGTGAATATAATTTAGCATGTGCGTATCAGAAATTTTCTCGAATAAATTCTCCGATTTAACTTTTTGAAACTACTAATTTTGGACGAAATTGTTTACATTTGTAAATTTTAAAACACATCAAGGAGGTAATGAATATCATGTTTTATTTAAATTGAATTGAATATGGCATGAGCAGAAAAGAACATTTTTTTTATTTCAGATGCTCAAGAGTTTTTTTTTGTTGTTGTTGCTATAATTCCTAATAAGTCGGAATTTTTTTTTTATAAAATTGCGGCCCACCATTTCACTGGTGTTTTTAATTGCGGCCCCTGGCCTCATGTAAGTTGGAAACCCCTGATGTAGATGAAAATAAATGAATGGCTGTTTAATTTCATTTCTAAGTTCTACAATCTATAGATCTTCTGGGTTTTAGCTTTACTATTTTGAAATACTCATCTACATTTTCTGTGATAAATATTCTCTTTTAACCGAATCTCCTTTTGCTTTCAGAGAACTTTCTCTAGATAGTGTGTTCACTTCAAGCGCTACTGCTGATTTAGGTTACAGTGAAACTCCTACTCCATCCCATACCGCTGAGAGTACTACTGCTTATAAGACTGACATTTATCCTCTAGATCCTGCTACATCATCCGAGTCTCCTTCTAGCTCAGTTGAAGCAACTGTTGAAAATGCTGCTAAAATGGACACTATTGACTTCAAGTAAGTCACAAATATCTTCATTTTGAATTGGCCAATAAATATTTAGAGTAGTTTTCAAAAGCATTTTGACTTTTTAGTGTGAAAATGTAGTACGTAACTCTATTTTTAGCTCTTATATTTTCACATTAGTGTAAGGTGACCAGACATCCTCAAATTTTAAGAGCAGTCCTCGAATTTCATTTATTATCCTCAAAACCTTTCAAAATTTTTTAGAGCAATCTTTTTTTTTCCAAATTTTAAGAGGTGTTTTCGAATGACCTCGAATTTCACCGAAAACATGTAATCCTTTTTATATGCAGCCAAGTATAAAAAAAGAGAAAAAATCAGAAATGAGCAGATTTTTTTCAACAAGAGTTTTTTTCAACTAATTCATTATGCATGTGTTCAAATTCAAAATATTATTTAATATTTCAAAACTGCTGAGTAATTATGTGAAGTTTTCTTCTCAAATCAGGGTTCATAAATCTGGTCACTTTAAATTAGTGCCGCAGATGATTTTTTGCATTTGCAAAAAAGGGGGTGAAAAAAACTTTTAATTACCTAATTGAATTTGCAGGACTCACTTTACAAGTCAAATTAAAATTTTCCTTTTTGTCTAATGAAATAAATAGACTATTCTTCTTTTGTTTCTGTACTGTAAAATATTAAGACAACAATTATACTTAATAAATTTTTATTAAGGGAAATTTTAACTTGCCTAATTCTAACTTCATCTTAAAAAATTCTCCTATGTATATTTTTTGGAATTAGCTCTTAAATATTGCTGATTGCCTTTATAAATATTTGTGAACTTATTTTCAAAATTTTCAAAAAAAATATTGTGTATAGAGCGTCTTACAGGCAAATTCCATTCTCCATTAATATTAAGACATCACAATATTATAGCATGTATTGAATTATATATGTATCATGCGAATCATGTAAGTTTATAATATGTTCAAAAAGTTTACCTAATAAAATTTTGTTTTGTTCAAATATGATTTCATTTTTTTTTCTTCCGTGAAAATCGTGTTTATTTCTCATCTTTTATTTTTACAACTTTTGTGCACAAAGGCTCTCTGCTTTCTACAAAGATGAATATTCGGTTTCACAAATAGAATTTCACTTCATTGTGTAAGGTGTAATATTTGTTTCAGGAGGGCCAATGACACTTTTAAAGCAGGTCATACAACTCCTGGTGGAGCCAGCAGTGGCGTGAGCTCTTTTAAACAGCCTCCATCTGAACCTAACATTGATTTTGAATTGGATGTTAAAGTATTTTTTAACAGTGGAAAATGTGTACTTCATACTAAGGATTTCAATCGGGAAGAGGATTTCTTAAAAAGGTAGGCTTTCTACAAAATAATTGTATTTCTTTTCAGTTCTCCAATTTTGAATTAATTAAAAATCTTCATTAAATTCTGGTAATCAATGTTGGGTTGTGATGATTTTTTTCTTCTGTTTTATAATTTTGTAATATTTATGTTTCACTTGAAATGTACAACAAGTTTCACTCTTTAAATCTTTAATCATTCCATATTAATTAACTGCAACCACCAAATATTTTATCTTGGTTGCATATTTTAAATTAATTTTTTTATATGAAATATAAATTGTTCATGTAAGCTCAAGTTGGTGTGGCTTGACCAATAATGTGAAACATGAACCCTATACAGAGTTGGAACAAGTTATACTCTGGTTTGATTTAAACTTGAGTTTGATGTTTTTTGCTGTGCATAAGTTTTATATGAAATTCTTATACCTAATAACAAACTAAGCAAAGATAATAATCTTACTCTGAGATGGACATCGATTCAAATGGTCATATTCAAATAGTCAAAATTTTTCTATTTAATAAAATTTATATTTTTAAAATTTTTATGTACAAGATCTAATTGCCAAATAGTCATGCTTGAAAAAATTTTAAGGTTTCAAATTTACTATTACCGTTTGCTCCATTATATTTATTTTAAATGCTTGAATCCCTGCTTATGGTTACAGTTTATAATTAAATTCATAAACAAAGTTATGAAGCTGAAATTTAAGCAAAATATTAAAAATAGGTTTCACTGAAACATCTTTCAGCATTATTAGATTTAATTATATCTCATTAAAAGAATTAAAAACATAGATCTTACTATGCAAAAAATGAGCAACATTTTTGCATCTATTATTATTTTTAAAATATTTGTTTAATTTTATCAAATAAAAGAGTGAAATTATTGAAGAAAAAGTTTTTTAACTAAGAAACAAAACATCGTATGACTTTAACGCTAATGAAGAAATAATTATTTTGTCTAATATTATTTTTAAAAAATATTTATTGCATAAATTAAAATAGTTTTAATTTAATAATAAATTAATTTAATAGTGAATATAGTNATTTTTAAAAAATATTTATTGTATAAATTAAAATAGTTTTAATTTAATAGTAAATTAATTTAATAGTGAATAGTAATAATTTAGTGTTAAAACATAGATTTGTTTATGTAAAAAATGAGAAACATGGTTGTAATTTTACATCTATTATTATATCAAATATTTGTTTAATTTTATCAAATAAAAGAAGTATAATTTATAAAATAAATCTTTTTTACTAAGGAACATTTTTGAATGAAACATCTAATGACCTTAAATACTCTATTTATATAATACAATGAAAAAAAGTACATATATATTTTTTTACCTAACATTATTTTTAAAAAGTATTTGTTGTATAAAGTAAAATAGTTTTAATTTAATAATTTACGCTTCACAATAGTATGAACTTAAATAAATGCTTTATGAAAAAAAATGAAGACTGATTTGCTTTTGTGATTTGTTCAGTGTCATAAACAGCATATTCGTTTAATTGACTCAAAAACTTAAAATTATAATCTTAAATTAAGCTGATTAGAAATAAATTATTCAAAGTGATTATAAATTTTACGTTTTTCGGTTAGATCTATGAGGAAAGAAAGAAGTTTCTCTGGTGGTGGCTTTGACCTATCATCACCGAGTCATACAAAGAAACGTTATGGAAGCGGAATGAGAAATAACATGTCTTCTTCTCGCCTTCGATATGCGCAAAATGCCCCTCCTAGTCAAGTTGCCGATTTTACAATATTTTTGATTCCTGGACTTGATGTCAAAGTAAGTTTGTAGCAATTATGTTGTTGTCTTATAATAAGTAATTATATTATACTATACCCATCTAATGTTCAGAATTACTGTAATAAATTCTTTTTTTTTAAATATTTTTGTTAAAGATTTAGGACTATTTATTCAGATGATTTTTATATATTTTTCCTTAACTCAGTTATCTTAAGACATGCAGTTTCTGCAAAACTTGTTTCAAAGCAGTAAATAAAATTGAATCAAAATCAAATCATATTAATAAGTTTATTAAAATTGTGCATCCATGTTTTTTAAAGATTTCATACTGTTTTTATGATATTTAGGTATTTTTCTCTTTTATTGCTTATCATCAACAGTTTTTTCAAAGCAAAATTGTAATCTTCTAACATATTAACAATATGTTAAATTTAGCTAAATACATGATTTATTTTTGCTATTTAAGACATTAGGAAAGAAAACAAATGAATGTCTTTCATTTGGGACTAAGTTGATTTATAGAAGCTTTTATATCAACATTGATTCAGACAGTTTACAATAAATATTTTATGTAATAATAATATTTTATGACTTATAATTTTTTTTACTCTAAAAACACACTTGGTCTTTTGTTCATTTTCCTCATAAATAACATTATAAAAACATGAATATCTATTTTTTTCTATTTTTGCAATTTCATCTTTTAATAGGAATCACATTTAAAAAAAAACATGTTAAGCACATTGCACTATGTTTTAGTTCCTTTCATTCAGTTTATGCCTTATCTCATTTCAACGGTATGTAAAAAATAAAAACAGCACAGACTTTTACAATATACTATTGTCATTTGAGGGATGAATAGGTCTATTTCTATTATCATATACTCACATAAAAAATATTATTTTGTCATGAAATTTATGAATTATTTGTAAATAAATTCTATCACGAAGTTTATGATTAGTTTCTTACCTATTATTCATTCTATGTGTTTTTATATAAAACAAATCAGTCTCTCTATTATTATTGGTGAGAAAATTGACTATAAGGAAAAAACATTCTCAGAAATTTACAAAATTATCTTTAAGTTAGCATAGTTATGTTTAAAATATGTGTTTACCGGGTGAAGTATCCATATTTTCTATATAAATAAGGTATTCCAGCAAAACGTATTCATTTCAATGATGTAATATTTTATAACAAAATACTCTTTTACCATAGTAATTGCCAAGGACGCCGGCGGAATAATATAAAAGGGGGTGCAACCCTCTAACAAACTACCCTCCCCTCCGCTCCAAAAAAAATTAAAATAGTCTGCTATTACATTTTGTTTTGTTATTACATATACTTTCATCTGTTCATTTTTTCAAGATACATTTCTTCATTGTTAGCAAGATATTTTAAAAAAAGTACTAATTTCTTGTATTTGCAAATTTTGCCTAGAAGCGATCGCGCTGGCATAGCTACTAACTTTCAAACACAAATAACTACAAACAGTAGTTTCGTATACTAACGTGTTTTTGCCCGCTTAACATTGGTATTTATTGTGTTGATGAAGTTTTACAGTTGCGAGAAGTCAGTTTGTGTTATACACCTTTGTTAAACTGAATAACTAGTAGAAAATATAATATTATTTACATTTTATTAAATGAAATTTAAAAATATAGCATAGATATCTGCCAAGTTTGTGAATGCTCAGTGTGCATAAGAAAAGAATCAAAGATGACTCAGAATTCATTGAAAAAGTTATAAACAGATTTGGACAGTAAACAAGACGATTACAATTCTTGTTTGATTAAACAATTTTTTAATTGGTATCTATCAATAATTACTTAATTATTTGTTTTTACATAAAAATATGTTTAATAAAAAATTTTTATAACAAAATTTTTCTGTATCTTTTTAATTGTTTTAAAAAAAAAGCCAGGGGGGTGCAAGTGCACCCCCTTGCGCCCCGCTGCCGGCGCCCTTGGTAATTGTTGACTTAGAGTTAAAGTTTGTGCTAGAGCTTGCAAGCAATACTATTTCTTGCTTTGGGGTAGAAATGAAGATTGTTGATAAACTCAAATATGATATTAAAGTTTTATTTATAACTTATTTTAGAAAACAGCAATTTATAAATTTTATAGCTTGTGTATGCTTCTTTTGTTTGACATCAATTAGCAAAAATATTGCTTGTAATTTTTCATGTTTAAGAGGTTCTTGATGGTATTTCATTTAAAGAAATGTAACCAATCATTATTTAATAAATAGGTTATTGCCGACTGACTTTTAAGTAGATAATTCCCCAAAATCAAACTTTGAAGTAATTTTGATTTAAAAATAATATTTTTATAACAAAATTTGGTCTTTAAAATTTTTATTAAAATGTTCTAAAGTGTTTCTTCTATTGGAAAAAGGCAGCTCAAATCTGCAGATCAGAAATTATATATTTAAGAGGCTATTTAGAAATGCAAATGAAGTACGAAAACAACATAAGAAAGTTTTGATTTACTTATATTTCTACTCTTTGGCAGCAGAACTACGACTAGACATTGCAACACTCTAGGCAAATCATTTTTTGGTACTTTAAAATATTCTCCTTATGCAGGGCCCTTAGGAAAATAAATCACTTAAAATTTCAGATTTTTGCCAATATTATTACAATAAATATGTTTTAATTTTTTGAATTTCATCCTTAAAATCGCTCAACTTTGCATTTTTTTCTTCATGTTTTTCTTTTCAATTTTTATATTGTCATTTAATTTTCATATTATTTTTTGCATAGCATCAATGGCCTTTAAAAAGAAGAAATTTTTTATTCAATGGCCTAATTTAAATAATTATTTAAAAATATTTAGGCAAATGTTATTTTCTATTTCTATAATTATGATTTGCAAGAGGTGTTTGTGTGATGTTCATTGAAATGTGGCAGACCACTGTTTTTTTTTTTCTATTTCACCTATATGATAAAATAAAAAAGATTTAAGAATTTTTAATGCTAAAAATTTAAAGAAAAAATTTAAAATTTTATAATTATTAAATCTTTTTTTTATAATACCAGTTCTGAGCCTTTTTAAGTTCAAAGAATGTGGGCCCTTGGCCAAATGTCCCACAACTATTAGTGCTCCGCTTTTCGTTGTGATAAACTTGCTACAGGCACTATGGCAGAGACGTCATAAATAGCTTTAAATTGCAAACCTGATGGAGTACCTTGGGTATGTTCCACCAATTACTATTTTTCGACAAGGAAAGGCACTGCCAAACTAAGATACACTGAGTACCATGCCATAATAGAACTTCATTTATTTACTTAATTTATCAAAAGTTAAAATTGGGGAAACTAAACAATTCCTAAGTTGATACCCTTGTATAATGTGGAATTTATTTTATTGTATTTGTCATTTATTGGTCCTTATGTTTGTTTTTAGGTTCATTATAATTCTAAAACTGTGTCTGGTGATAGTCCTCTTACTAGTGTAAATGGTCCTATGAAATACTATACAGAAGTGGACTCTAGTAATTTTGAAGATCCAGGAGCATACCGAGCAAGTTTCCTGGCTGTAGATTCTTCTCAAATGACAAGCAGTAGTCTTCGCAAAATTGGCATTAAAAAAGCGTGCCTTTTTGCTTGGGTTACACTACAAAGTATTCCTGAAGTATGTCTTAAACTTTCTTTAGATTTACCTCTGAAATATGATTTAAAGCTGAAATGAAATATGTCGCTTTTAATATTTCTAATGAAGTGTTGTCTCCCCCCCCCTTTTTTAAAAGTGTTTTGGCTAAAAAGCGTTAGAAAATGGAAAGCATTATAAATTTCAAAATAATAAATGCTAAGTTAGATTCTAAAGTAATAATAAACCAAATTTGTTTGTTAATATTTTTTTGTAAAACATGTTTATTACTTTTATTTTTGTTTAATTTTTTAAAAATAAATGTAATTGAATTCTGTGATTTTAATACACCAACATGGTGCGTAGCGTTTTTAAAAAGTGATTAAAGGTGCTTATTTCGATTTTCGTCTTTTGAAAGCCCTTAAAGTTGCTTTTTTATTAGATGTTTTTAAAAAGTGCTTAATTTTCCCTTTTCGAAAATGCAATTTTTTCCCCCTTACCATGTCGATCTTCGCCACGTATTATGCAAAAGCGAAGTTTTAGCATTGTTCTATTCAACGTTTTCACAATTCATTCAAACACAATGCATTTCGGCGTATCGTCGGTCAGTAGCGTATTAAAGCGCCTACCATTTTACATGTTTGATGAAATACTTGCAAGTCCTCATGTGCGTATACTGAGCTGGATTCTGTAAGATTCTAGCACTCTCATTTGCAACTCTGCTGCATTTTGCAAGATATTCTCAATTTCAGGCCTCATTTTCCACCCTCTGAAATTGAACCAAAAAATCTATTGATCTTTTTATGGTGGCTAATATAATCAAGAAAATAGTTCTTTTTGTCAGAAACTGGTTATTTTATCATGATCATCTAAAGTCTTTGAAAATTTGTTAATGTATATAGTGCTTAAAATATTTTTTGAGTTCTTAAAAGGTACTTAAAAGGTGCTTATTTTTTGTTGAAAGATTTGGCTACGCTCCTTGGGATACTTTTGACCAGATAGTGTCTCTGAGATGATGTGGTCACAGAGATCCTTATTATAATATAGAATAAATTGTTTTGTAATAATAAGCATCCCCAACTCATATTCTTAATAATATGGGTGGAGGATGGCCCTGAGTGCTGGACTCGACAGGTTTCACTCTACATTATTTAACAATAAAATAAGAAATCCAAAACTATGTACAATATTCAAAATCGACCAGAGAAATAATGAAACATTTCTCACATTTGTGACATTTTACAACAAAGAAGTTTATATTGTATTTTATTTTTATTTCCCTTGTATTTTTTTTTCTCTCAGATTTTATTATTGACTNCTCTTATAAGAATATACATATTTTTTTCTGTTAATGTACAAATATTTTTCCGATGTGTTTTGGATATTCCTTCTCTAATAAAAAGAGATACCATTTTGTTTTCGGTTGTACAAGAAAGAAGATCAAGCATTTTTCTTTTTTAAATTTAATAAGCCACATTAAAGAAGGAACGTTGCAATGCTACACGCTACATTAACGACGTCTCCAGAGTAACTCATATGGAAATCATACAACAACGCCCCCTATAGTTCGTTGCGATCGCGAATCCGTGATACGACTAATAATTAAGAAATTTATTCTCGTTAATTTACTTGCTTGTGCTCACCTGACATAAAGAAACGCGGGAATTAAAAATTGAAGTACATGCAATTTACTTTAATTTACTTTTCTAAATGAATAGAGTTATAAGGTGAAAAATATCACTGTTGTTATCTTCAAGATATTTGAAAACTGAATCGTTTATAGCAAAATTTAAAACAATGGCTAGCTTTTAACCAATCAGAAAATTCCATTTCGACTTTCACTGATATCGCTGGAACGGTTTATCGCAGAATGTTCTAATGTCCACAGAAACCTTCCTCGTGCTTTGAACTATCTGTATGCCAAGTTTCATAGCTTTCTGTCGGATGGTTTAGGAGTCTATAGAGGACAGACAGACATACACACATTCACTTTTATATATATAGATGAAGTATTGTCTCCCCCCCCCTCTTTTTTTAAAAAAGTGTTTTGGCTAAAAAGCGTTAAAAAATAGAAAGCATTATAAATTTCAAAATAATAAATGCTAAGTTAGATTCTAAAGTAATAATAAACCATATTTGCTTGTTAATATTTTTTTGTAAAGCATGTTTATTTTTTTTATTTTTGTTTAATTTTTTAAAAATAAATGTAATTGAATTCTGGGATTTTAATATACCAACATGGTGCGTAGCGTTTCTAAAAAGTGATTAGAGGTGCTTATTTCGATTTTCGTTTTTAGAAAGCCCTTAAAGGTGCTTTTTTATTAGGTGTTTTTAAAAAGTGCTTAATTTTCCCTTTTCGAAAGTGAGATTTTTTTCCCTTACCATGTCGATCTTCACCACGTATTATGCAAAAGCGAAGTTTTAGCATTGTTCTATTCAACTTTTTCACAATTCATTCAAACACAATGCATTTCGGTGTATCGTCGGTCAGTAGCGTATTAAAGCGCCTACCATTTTACATGTTTGATGAAATACTTGCGAGTCCTCATGTGCGTATACTGAGCTGGATTCTGTAAGATTCTAGCACTCTCATTTGCAACTCTGCTGCATTTTGCAAGATATTCTCAATTTCAGGCCTCATTTTCCACCCTCTGAAATTGAACCAAAAAATCTCTGTCTAATATAATCAAGAAAAGAGTTCTTTATTGAAACTAGTTATTTTATTAGGATCATGTAAAGTCTCAGAAAACTATTTTGCATTTTGTTAATGTATATAGTGCTTAAAAATTACTTAAAAGGTGCTTATTTTTTGTTGAAAAATTTGGCTGCGCACCCTGACCAACTATTTTCTAAAAATCGCTGTAAAAATTTCCATTTCTATTTAAAAAGGAAAATCTGCACCCTGATCTAGAACTTAAATCAATCAATAAGATCCTAAGCATGATAAACATATTAAGCTCAATTGCAATGAAAAGAAATCGGGCATTTTTTAAAAAATTTTCATATTCTCTTTCATTTGCAAATACCAAAAGATTGTGCATATAAATCAAATTTAGTTTTCTTCACTGAAAATGTTACTTATTTTCGTTATTATTTTTGTTTTGTTTTATACTAATAGTCTTAATGCATTCTAGGAAGCTGTAGTTAGTCCACATCTGTTGGACTTTTTGGAACAAGCCCTTGAGCCCATACCAATTCAACTAACCAAAACTCCTCCTGTTATAGGTATTTTATTTATTATTTTTTTTAATTTAACGAAAGTTTTACTTTTTTTTTTCTCATCATCTGTATTTTTAGAAAGTTGGAAAAATAACATTTGTTCATTTTGTTTAAAATGTTAATGTGCTTTTGCATGATTTTATATTCTTTATTAGTTATTTTTGGATAATTGAAATCATATTGTTGTTATCACTTATTATTATCATTCTTTATAAATTTATAAATTATTTGTTATTAGTGCAGTATTAAAAAAGAATAAAATTTAATATAGTTATACCATAACAGTGTACAGAACTTGTATCAAAACAATTTAAACTTCTTTCTTACAGGATGTTATTTTAAATCAGCTATAGTATTAAATTTGTTACTAATCTGTGTGACAGTCTCTCATTTCCCCCCCCAAAGAAATAATGCTTATCATTTTATAGAACTTATCATTGATATAAAGCAAAAATTAAATTAATTCAAAATTTTTTTTTCATTAAAAACCTTTAAAATTGCGCTTTATGTTTTATGTAATAAGTTCTATTATTTCTGTAGTGTAATTTTATTCTTATTCATAAATGCTTTTTTGTATTATATCTTTAAATTTATTTTTACAATTTAAAAACTAAAATTGAAGTTCACTAATTCAAAGATGCCTCTTATTAATTACTTTGATAAAATGATTTATGTAGATTATTATTATTCAGTTTTTAGTGCTTCTTTTTCTTTTTAGAATTTTTTTCAATAGTCTGTTGTATTTAAATTGAATGTTAATCATATTTGTAACTTTTTCTTAATTCAAGTCAAGAGCAAAACATTAAATAAAACATAAATATTAAAATTCAAGTTTACTTTCTAATGTAAATACTTTATTTGCCTTATAAACGAAATGGCTATTATTTGTAACTAACAAAAAGTCTCTTAAACAAGCTTTTAACATTGAATTTTTGTTTGTTTATTTATTTTGCATATTTTATTATGTTTTTGGTACATTTTGACAGTTATGTACTTCTTTAATCAGAATTTTCAATGAACATGTAAGTTTTTTTTAAATTCTTTTATATCTTTAATACTTTTCTACTTCTCTCATTCAGATATTTAAAATTTCATTTTTTAATGTTTTTATTTACATAATATTTCATCATTCTGGTATTGAAAATTCCTGTTTCAAACTTTGCAATTCATTATTGAATATTTTTTTAAAAATTTCATTAAACAACGTTACATTTTAAACTCTTTTCAGAACCTTCAAAGATTGAAGATGAAGGTGCTTCATTGGTTACACCTAGTCAATATGCATATGCCTCTTTTCCTGTTGATGTCATTGTTTACTTCCGAATGCAACCATCAATTTTACGTTTCAGTTGCTTACCCATATCACGTGTAGAGTGTATCCTTAGATTACCATCAGTGGACCTTGTTTTTTCATCAAAACGAGCAGAGGATGATTTATATGCAGCTGCCACTCAAGAATCAAGTTTTATGATAAAATCGAGAGGTAGTTTACTCTAATTACACTTTTATTTAGCAATTTAGTTTATTATTTGTATTCTACAATGTTTTTCTTTAAATATGAATAAAGCTATATTTGTACAGTTTGATAAAATCTGCTCACTATTAATATTGTATTAGTCTAGAGCAGTGGTTCCCAACTTTTCTAGCTATGGAACTTGATTAACCATCTTTTGGCAGAACTCCAATTAAATAAGGAAAATTCTCTAGCAATTGTTAAAATATGATTCAGAGCAAGAGTGCTAATTATTTTGAAAACATTTAGTGGTGAGAATGAAGAAAAATTTCATTGTTTTATCAATTGTAGAATTTTGCTTTCTGTCAGACATTTGAACTGGCCAATCTGAAAGGGCATCTAGTCTAGTTTTAAAATTCTTTTTGGTATGTGCGTTAGCTTAAAATAAATAAAATAATCTGAATTATGATTTTCATATAAAGAAAAACAAGAGGAACTGTAAACGTTGACTGGAATCAGAAAAATATATTTCTGTATTGTTGGATTTAGTTATTTTTTAGGTACATGCGTATGGAGATAATTGTCACCAAATGTTCTACAAATGTTTCTCAAATCGTACACATGGGTGATAAAATTTTCACCTTGAAATATACTTAAAAGTTACAAAATCGTAACAAAAAATTGTTTTTTGTATCGAATTCCATGCATTTATAAAAATTGTTGTTCTAATTTTATTGTTCTATGGATAGGTTAAGTTTTAATTTTAAAATTTTTCAAATGGATTAACTGAAAATGTCTGATACAAAATTTTTATATTCGAATGCTAAAATTTAAACTTAAATGCTGTGCTTTGCATTCATGTACTGACAATGTAATTGTTTATCAATAAAGTAGTATTTTTCGCTTTTTTTAAAATTGACTTTATTTAGAATTTTATAATATCGTGATAATTAATTTTTTGTATAATATTTTGTTAGCTCTTTTCCTGTTTTCCTCATTTATTTATCTATTTGGTTTCAACATTTTAATCAATATGTTGAATCTATTTACTAATATTATTTTAGCTGTTTTGGCCGCTTAGTTTCAATGAATACTAATCTTCCATTATTATAGGGCAATGAACCTAATTAGTTTTAGGATGTAATTGATGACAATTATGTAATAATTTTTGATATGTACCTTAACAGGAATTATGCAATTGTGAAGTCATAATTCCATCTCTCAAGTTTGTTGACCGTATTAAGTTTTTGGAGCACTAAATGAATATCTAGGTAATCCTATTGGACTACAAAATTTTTATTGCTGGTATGAAACCTATTTATTTTATTTTGAATTGAAAGGTTGATGAAAAATATTAAAGCAATTTTTATGAATGTATTCCTTTCATTCTTTGTTGTCCCTTCAAATTTTTTTTCTTTCTTTTACATTTTAACTATTTTTTTTTATTTGGTGTACAATCTAAGTATTAAGTAATTAATGGTCCTAAAAATAATCTTAACTCTTTCGACCCCCTCTGACTCTTCTACAGAACAAGTAACTTAGGTAAGTAAAATTTTTCATATGGTTTTTAGACCTGAGCATGCCAAATAAATTGTAAATCACCATCTAAAAAGCTTATGGTTTTTTTTCCTTCTCAAATGGTACTATATGCTTAGTTCCTATAGTAGAGAATGAATTCAAATTTATAAAAATATTATGATATAGAAATATTTTTTTTAATGCAGGTTTCAGAATATACATTTCAATATGGCTTAGCCCCTTGTTTTAAAAAATTGTCATGATTTTGTTTTCAGTTTTCCCCAAAAATAATAATCGACCCATCTTTGAAAGTGCGTCTGTGTGCCAAACAGCTGTTGGTGGATTAAGCATGACTGGTTGTTTAGCTGATTTTTCATTATATATTTTCCATCCTTATGGTGGAGCAAAAAAAGCAGGTAAGTCTTATTTTATGTATTAATGGAATGCATATTTTCTGTATAATTACTTAATTTACTAAAAAAACTGAATGACTGTCTATTTAGGTAGTTCTAAAGAAGGAGAAACATCACCTTTATCAACAAGTGAGAGAAAGGATTCATTGAGTTTACAAGTAGAGTTCGTAAAAGTTAACATCTCGAGAAGTAGAAAAATCAATCTCTCTCATATAGAATCTGGCTCTAATCCTCTAAAATCAGGGAGATCTTGTGACTCTGGGGGTGCACTGATTCGATTTTCAGGTAAATTTTGGCATCTTTTCCTAATTTTGACCTAAAAAAATCCCTTGAAGTAAAAAATTTTATATTTGACTAATGAAGTAATGTTTTTTCTCGAAATTTGTGTATAATTATTTTCAAACATAAATACTGATCAAGATCTAATTAATATGCAATATTGCGTAGATAAATTTTAAATGGTGAAAAAGTAACATGTGGTGAGTTATAATTTAAAAAGCAAAAAGTATTAGAGAAACTTTATGTAAAATAAGGATCAATACCAAACAATTAGTGTAAAAAATAAATAAAAAGAGTAACAGAATGCCGTAATATTTAAAAAAATACTCTAATAAAACTAAAGCAACCCCCAAAATAAAATAACATTAAATCAGGAACACCGTTATCACATTTAACGTAGATTTTTTAAATAATTTTATAATTAATTCGTTTTTATTTTTCCTGAAAAAATTGACATTGTTTATTTCCCAAGTGATTTTTTATTCTGTTTTAGTCTAGCTAGTCAATTTTGAACACAGAAAGAAAATGTCATAAATTATTGTGTTGCTATAAGAAATCTGATACTTAATTCACTTAACCTACTTCTATTCTATTGCAATCATAAAACTTGAGTTGTTTAATAGAAAACATGAGCTGCGGTATTCTATTACTTCAAAGAGAAATCATAATAATTATAAAATATTTAGATTTTTTTAGAGCTCATAAATTATTGTAATATCAGAAAAGTTTGCAGTAACGCTAATATTTATAACTATATTTTTTACAGTAAAATATTATTTGTTTTATTTTACAATTGACATATCTACTTCGGCTAGAATTAGATCAAAACTTTCTTATTAGTTATAGCATCATGCTTGCTGTCTTACTTTTTTTTAACAGTTTCGTACAAACTTTTAAAATGAAATAATTTGGTTGTTAACATCATATCCAAGCTACACTAATAAAATATTGGTTGTCTATAATTTTTTCTAATTGTAATCTAAAGACATTATTGGTTTATGCTTGCATTATGCTACAGTAATTTATAAAAATATAGTAATTACTGTCCTTTGTACACAGTCAGGCAGTACTCCTACTGCCTGACTGTGAGTTTTTTCTTCCATTAACACATCTTTGTTTTACTTAAATACAGGTGTGTTTAGCTAGCTGCTGGATTTAATAATTTAGTATGCTCAACCTGGCAATACTTAATTTCCTTCTTTTTATTTGTTTTATTAAGAATTATTTATTTAATAATTAATTTTAAATTAGATTTAATATAGAATTTTAATTTTAAATAATTAAGTGTTCTGAATTTGACTCGCATGCATAAATGCATTGATGGCGTTTTCAAAAATAGAATATTTTAAGATTAAAGAAGAAGTGAATAAGTATTTTCCTTTTAACAAAAGTATATACAGTGAAACATTCAGGAAAGCCACCTCTGTGTAGCAACCTGTTTGCGACCACTTTTGGGAGGCACAGAATTTTTTCCATTGACTAACCGTTGAAAAAAATCTTCCAGAGAGACCATCAAAATCTCTCCCAGCGACTGGGCAATTCTCTGTGCAAAATGCTGAGAAGGTCCAATAAGGAAACACGAAAAATAACAAAACTAAAAATATTAACAAAACAAATAAGTAGATTCAAATGTATTAAAAATCATTTAGAGGGCTCTTTTTGACGATTTCTGAAAGAGAAAGACAACCTCAAGTTGAAGTTAGAGTACTCTAAAAATGTTGCTATGATTTATTTTTAAAGTTGAAAGTTAATAAATTAGAGAAAAAAAAGCTTTTTCAGAAAAAACTAAGCATCTGAAGCAAACAAACCTCTTCTAAGTTTTTTAAAGCTAACTGATTTTTATGACATAAAATTAAAGGCAAATTTAATCAAAAAACGTAATTGTTTATTTATTTAAAATAACTCTATTACTTATAATTTCTAAATTTGTTTTTACACATGAGTGAAGGTCATTTTTATTGACAGTAAATTTTGTTCTTCAATCTGGTTTTCATGGCGCTAATGCAAGTGGCATTTCCGCTCCAAATAAGATGAAACTGAGAAAGATTAAAATTACTTGCAAAAAACCGTTGTGCCTTCCATAACAGGGTGCGTAGCATTTTTAAAAAGTGCTTAAAGGTGCTTGTTTTCGATTTACGTTTTTTAAAAGCCCTTAAAGGTACTTTTTTCATTAAGTGTTTTTAAAAAATGCTTAATTTTTCCCCTTTTCAAAATTAGATTTTTCCTTTACCTTCTTGATTTTCACTTCGAATTATACAGAAAGACACAGTTCACATTGTTCCTATTCAGCGTTTTTACAATTAATTCAACCCCAATCTATTTCGCCGTATTGTCAGTCCATAGCGTATGAAAATGCCATTCGTTTTGCATGATTCAAAATTTCATAATTTTTGACAATTGTCAAAAACAATGCCAAAATTTATTTTAAGTTTTTTTTTTTTTTTTTTTTTGACATGACGGTTAAAACAAGATAAAAACGTAAATTTTCAAAAACTTTCCAACCCTGCCTAGTTATGATATTTTTTTAAAGTGCTTAAAAATATTTTTTGAGTACTTGAAAAGTGCTTAAAAGGTGCTTATTTTTTGATGAATTATTTGGAAGTCAATGAAGGTAATTCCTAAGAACGACCAACCTCTATTAACAACCATTTTTCTGTGAAACCGAGAGGCTTTACTGTATTTTCTGTAAAATCTTGCAAACATTAAATGTGAAAAATAAATTTTATTATTACAGCTATCTGTGATATTGGTTCAGCTTCATTCAAGTATGATATGAGACGATTAACTGAAATTTTAGCTTTTCCTAAAGCTTGGTATCGTCGCAGCATAGCAAGGAGAATGTTTTTAGGTGATCAAAGCACTGGTGCTTTATATAGTGATCAAGGTAATATATTTTAAAATTATATTTAATGCTACTAAAATTCTTCAAAACCACTTAATATTATTTAAAAAAAGAAAGACTTATGTGTAAATAGCAGAACTACATTATGGATCAATTGAAAAACTGACTGCAAATACCTTGCCAATCAGTGGGCGTATTTTGTTTAATCAGTTTTGCATTATATCTGACAATATATGTTACTAAGGTTGGAAGAAATTATGGCTACATAGTTGCAAAGTGTATATTAATTAATAATATATGTNCTGTCTATTTAGGTAGTTCTAAAGAAGGAGAAACATCACCTTTATCTACAAGTGAGAGAAAGGATTCATTGAGTTTACAAGTAGAGTTCGTAAAAGTTAACATCTCGAGAAGTAGAAAAATCAATCTCTCTCATATAGAATCTGGCTCTAATCCTCTAAAATCAGGGAGATCTTGTGACTCTGGGGGTGCACTGATTCGATTTTCAGGTAAATTTTGGCATCTTTTCCTAAACTGACCGAAAAAATCCCTTGAAGTAAAAAAATTCTTTTTAACTAATGAAGTAATATTTTTACTCGAAATTTGTGTAAAATTATTTTCAAATATAAGTACTAATCAAGATCTAATTAGTATGTGATACTGAGTAAATAAATGTTAAATCAAGAAAATGTACCATATAGGGAGTTATAATTTAAAAAGCAAAAGTATTAAAGAAACTTTATGTAAAATAAGCATCGATGGCGAAGAAATAGTGTAAAAAATAACTAAAAAGAGTAATAAGATATTTTAATATTTTAAAAGATTCTCTAAAAAAGAACGAAAACAGCTCCAAAGAGAAAATAACATTAAAGAAGGGACTCAATTATCACATTTAATGTAGACTTTATTATTATTTTATAATGAATTCATTTTTTGTTTTTTTCTGAAAAAAATTGACATTGTTTATTTCCTAAGTGATTTTTGATTCTGTTTTAGTCTAGTTAGTCAATTTTGAACATAGAAAGAAAATGTCATAAATTATTGTGTTGCTATAAGAAATCTGATACATTATTCACTTAACCTCCGTCTATTCTGTTGCAATCATAAAATTTTACATGAGTGCTTTAATAGAAAACATGAACCATGGTCTATTACTTCAAGGAAAAAACATAATAATTGTAAAATATTTTAATTTTTTTTAAAGAGCTCATAAATTATTGTAATATCAGAAAAGTTTTCAGTAAATGCTAATATTTATTACTATATTATTTACAGTAAAATATTATTATTTGCTTTATCTTACTATTGAAATATCTACTTTGGCTAGAATTAGATCAAAACTTTTTTATTTGTTATAGCATCATGCTTGCTATCTTACTTTTTTTTTAAACATTTTTGTACAAACTTTTCAAATGAAATAATTTGTGTTTATAACTTTTTCAGCTCAAATTAAATAATTGTCATAATTTGGTTGTTAACATTGTATCCAAGCTACACTAATAAGACATTGGTTCTCTATATTTTTTTCTAATTGTAATCTAAAGACATCATTGGTTTATGCTTGCATTATGCTACAGTAATTTATAAAAATTATAGTAATTACTGTCTTTTGTACCATAGTATGTTCCTTTGTACAAAGGATAATACTGTCCTTTGTACATAGTCAAGCAGTACTTTACTGCCTGACTGTAAGTTTTTTCTTCCATTAACACATCTTTACTTGAATACAGACGCACAAATTGACTTGTGTTTAGCTAGCTGCTGGATTTAATTATTTCATATGCTAAACTTGGCAATAGTTAAAATGCTTCTTTTTATTTGTTGAATTATCTAAGTTCGTATTTAATATAATTTTAAATTTAAATAATTAAGAGTTCTGAGTTTGACTCAAACATGCATAAATACATTGATGACGTTTCAAAAATGAATTTTTTAAGATTAAAGAAGAAGTGAATAAGTATTTTCCTTATAACAAAAGTATATACAGCGAAACATCCAGGAAAGACCACCTCTGTGTAGCAACCTATTTGCGACCACTTTTGGGAGGCACAGAATTTTTTCCACTGTTGATAAAAATCTTTAGGAGAGACCATCAAAACCTCTGCCAGCGACTTGGCAATTCTCTTTGCGAAATGCAGAGAAGGTCCAATAAGGAAACATGAAAAATATCAAAACTGAAAATATTAACAAAACAAATATGTAGATTCAAATGTATTAAAAATAATTTTGGGTTTTTTTTTGGACGATTTCTGAGAAAGAATGACAACCTTAAGTTGTAGTTAGAGGACTCTAAAAATGATGCTATTAATGATTTATTTTTGAAGTTAAAAGATAATAAATTAGAAAAAAAAGTTATTTCAGAAAAAACTGAGCATCTGAAACAAACAAACCTCTTCTAAGTTTTTTAAAGCTAAATATTTTTTATGATGTGAAATTAAAGGCAAATTTAATCAAAAAACGTAATTGCTTATTTATTTGAAATAACTCTATTACTTATAGTTGCTAAATTTGTTTTTACACATGAGTGAAGGTCATTTTTATTGAAAGTAAATTTTGTTTGTTAAAAAAGTGGAATTTCCGCAACAAATAAGATGAAACTGAGAAAAATTAAAATTACTTGCGAAAAATCATTGCGGCTTCCATGACAGGGTGCGTAGCGTTTTTAAAAAGTGCTTAAAAGTGCTTATTTTCGATTTTCGTTTTTCAAAAGCCCTTAAAGGTAATTTTTTCATTAAGTGTTTTTAAAAAGTGCTTAATTTTTCCCTTTTTCAAAATTAGATTTTTCCTTTACCATGTTGATTTTCACTTCGAATTATGCAGAAAGACACAGTTCACATTGTTCCTATTCAACGTTTTCACAATTAATTCAACCCCAATCTATTTGTTTTGCATGATTCAAAATTTTATAATTTTTGACAATTGTCAAAAACAATGCCAAAAGTTTTTTTTTTCTTTGACATGACGGTTAAAACAAGATAAAAATGTCAATTGTCAAAAACTTTCCAACCCTGCCTAATTATGATATTTTTTAAGGTGCTTAAAAATATTTTTTGAGTACTTGAAAAGTGCTTAAAAGTTGCTTATTTTTTGGTAAATGATTTGACTATGCACCCTGCATAACATTTTGAAGTCAATGAAGGTTATCCCTAAGAACGACCAACCTCTATTAACAACCATTTTTCTGTGAAACCGAGAGGCTTTACTGTATTTTCTGTAAAATCTTGCAAACATTAAATGTGAAAAATAAATTTTATTATTACAGCTATCTGTGATATTGGTTCAGCTTCATTCAAGTATGATATGAGACGATTAACTGAAATTTTAGCTTTTCCTAAAGCTTGGTATCGTCGCAGCATAGCAAGGAGAATGTTTTTAGGTGATCAAAGCACTGGTGCTTTATATAGTGATCAAGGTAATATATTTTAAAATTATATTTAATGCTACTAAAATTCTTCAAAACCACTTAATATTATTTAAAAAAAGAAAGACTTATGTGTAAATAGCAGAACTACATTATGGATCAATTGAAAAACTGACTGCAAATACCTTGCCAATCAGTGGGCGTATTTTGTTTAATCAGTTTTGCATTATATCTGACAATATATGTTACTAAGGTTGGAAGAAATTATGGCTACATAGTTGCAAAGTGTATATTAATTAATAATATATGTATGCCAAAGGTGCATTAAATTTAGCTGTATTGCATTGAATTTTTTTTTTTTTAATCTTTTACACAAAATACTTATATTAATGCTTTTTGCACAATTTTAATATTAAAACAATCATTTCATCTGATGTGGGAGAGTCTACATGTATTTATTTTGAATTAATGAAAAGTGGAGGCCAAAATATTCCAGATTTAATTCCCAGTGGTGGCTGTTCGATACAAATCCTGCCCCTGCCCCACATCGAGCTCAGTGTTGAAACAAAATATCCTCAGTTATAGACATATCATAGGTAGAAATCCTTTGCTGTTCGGCTAGCCATGAGATGTTTTCATGATTTTCCTCTTCCTACAGTGCAAATGTGGGATAGTTCTATTAAAAAGTTCTTTTCGGAAGCCAGTTTGTCCCCATGCTTGATCAAAGAGTTTCCTTGTCTTCTGGGCTGGGTTCGAAATTACAAGGCTATGGAGTTGAACATTGATAGTTGTAAACTCAGAATTAGGTTAGCTGTTCATCGCTGGTTATAAAATTAAAAATAAAATTATGGTTAGATTTGGTAGCTAATCAACTAAAAAATTTCCCATTATTCTTAATCAATGTTATTACCAGTTTTGTTTTTGGCTGTTTCCTCATGGTTTGAATTAAGAATAAATCAGGCGCCAATGAATTAAAGTATTATTTTTATTGCTGAACTGTCATTTTTATAATGCCATATAATTATCAAATAAATTTTTAGAATATTACACCACCTTTTTAAATATACCACCACTGCTATTAAATATTTTTTAGGATTTTTTTCCAGATTTTATTACTATATACTTATATTTTATTCCATCTTTAGAAGATTCTGTTGAAACTAGTAGCAGTAGTGGAACAATGTCTCCAAGTATCAGCAAAGCTGATTACATTGCTTTCTCTTCTCCTGTGACTGTGCAATCTTCTTGTGCAACTACAACTACTTCTGAAAATACAACCTTGCTGACATCTTCTTCTAAAACTTCAACTATTCCAATCTCTCACTCCTTAAAATCTACTCCTACCTCTGATGGTTTCAAAGATCCAAGTAAATTACCCAAGTCATTAATCTCTCCTCATGCTCATCGAGACAGACTCTGGCTGAATTTAGATCGATCTATTCCTGAATCAAGAAGAAATCTTGGTATGGTATATTTAACCAATATCAGCTCACTTTTAAATATTTGTGTTAAAAGAAAGTTTTTGTGCCCTATATCTTAAGGCATAAGTAAACCCGTTGTATGAGTAGATTCCCTATGTTTGATTATGATGTAGTAAATCTCTGGTGTGTCAGAAGTATAAGTTGACCGCTGAAAATACCTAAATATAAATTTTTTTAAATTAAAAAACAAAAAACATTACGAATATTTCACATTGTTCTCTTTTTACATGTTGTATTTGCCCTCAAATAAAGATGAATAGCATTATTGAGTTCGACATAGATGATGTTCTCAAATCTTTGAATTTGTAGCTTTATGGTTTGTTTTAAAAGTTTTCTTTGTATTATATATTTTGAAATACCCTTGAATAAATTATTTTAACTTTTCTTAATCTTAATTTTATTTTCTAAACATAATTTAAAGTGTTTTAAAGGAAAATAAAATCTTTTTATGTAGAGAAAATATGATAAAAGAAAATTGCAAAATTAATTGTATGTAACATATTAAAAATAGTTTTTGTAAAGGGTAAATTGATACAGAGTTATTGATATCTATCTCATAGTTTGTAAGACATCGTTATTTCACAATCAACTATGTCTGACTTTATTTTGTGTGTATAAATCAACATGAAAGTTTGAGGATTGAATTTTCATGAAATTTTGAGGATTTGAAAAGTTTATTTATGCACCAATATATATGGTACATGTCTCAAGGCTCATTCCTTAAAAGTTCAATAAAAGTGAATTATTTCTCTAAAATTAATGGACATTTTTGTTAATGTTTACTTGTTTTGTTTTTCTTGTTTGTTTGTTTACCAAATTGTTTTCTGATCGAACTTATTATAAGCAAAATTCCGTGCAAAGTAAATCATAATTTTTTTTTGTTGACTATAGAAATATTAGGTAAATGGAATTAAATTTTAAAAATTCCGATGACCTTCTAAATCTTCCAATTATGCGATAAATGTTCAAACCCTAACCGATTGTTTCACTACTACCAATTCACATTAACTACAATGCCAACATAAATAAGGGTTGGATCTTGAGTTAGATACCTCTTTCATTCAGACTAAGCATGGAATGATTTCAAGATTTTCCTCTTAGTGTAACACAAATGCAGGTTAAAGTCCTCCTTGAAGGCAAGTTTGAACCAATACTTGATCCAAGATAGTCTTCTGGGTTGTGATCAAAATTAGAAGAGTTAAACGTTACGAATTATGATAGCTACGAATTCAATATGAATCGACTGTTCTAGAGCAGTGATAATATCAGAAAAGAAATTAATGCTAATAATTAAAAATAATTGTTCTTTATTGTTTCTTATCTTTAAGAAAATACATAACCTAACAATAAAAGAAGCGATTTCAAGATTATTCATCAAAAAGAAGCATACTGATGATAATTAAGGTTGAATAATATTTAGTAAAATTGCAGTGGAAATTTAATAGAGGTTGAAAAGAAATTTATACAATAATTTGTTCATAGTTCCGCCATTGTTCTTCTGAATTTTTTGATACTTTCTTCTCCTAATATTTCTATTTTACTACACTTTAAAAACGACACTTTCAAAATCATCAAATAATAATGATTCCTTATGCCTTTTCAGGAATGCCAAGTCCGTCAAAAAGCGGCTCTTCCAGTTATGACGAAAGCAAAGACAGTATATCTTCCGAAACTTCCTCCCCTCTCCATTCAGGTAGACATAGTAGTTCCTGGGAAACTCTTGTTTTGTTTGCAGTAAACCTTTCACGTTTAAACGTTCACATGAATATGGGAAATGTTATGGGAAACACAACGTAAGACTTTTTATAACTCAACTATTTTTAGGTTTAGATTAATATCAAGTTAATGACTATAGAAATAGAGTATTAAGATATTTTTAATTTTTTTGCAGGTGGTTAACTAGAGATTTCAAATCTCAGGGCCGCTTATCAATAGGAAGTAGTGGACACAAAAACTTATTTCTTTCTGTTGGTCTAGAAGTTTCAACTCTGGATAGCAAGGGTGGTATTGTTGGTGGAACAATTGAATTAAGCCATATTGACACTTGTAGTAAGTAATGTATCCAATTATAGCATGTTAATTTTTGTTAATTTGTTTAAATATTATTAAATTAATGAAAACTAGAGAAAATATTTGATGCTTTAGTAAGTAGTTGTAAAAACAAAAATCATCAATGAGGGTGCAATGCGTTTTTTTTTAGATTAACCCAAAAAAGAATTGAAACGAGAAATTCGTTATGAATTTCTTTAAACTTTTTACAAATTTTAAAAGAAAGAAAGAACTGTTTTTATTTTCATAATTTTTGTTACGAAACAATGTTCTATTTTTTTACTTTTTTTTGTTAATTTGAGTATAACTATATGCTAGTTTCGTTTAAAAGCTTGTTTATATAATCACATTTTGTGTCAATTTTTTTAAGTACTTCTTACCACTTTTTAATTTCCCAAATTTACTACTTTTATCAAATGCTTTTAGTTAATTAGCTCACAATTTAATTTATTTAGCAAAAAATATTTTTAAAGTTTGTTCAATTTGTTCTCTGCAAATATACTTTTTAATAAAAATTCTTCTCACAATCTTTATTTATTTATTAACTATGAAAATTAAATGTTTGTGAATATCTCAATCAAATATGCATAAGGAACTGTATTATTTATTCTAATTATACTATTTACATAAGATATAAGGTAAATGAACTACATTTAATAAAATTGATGCAAGATCTAATAAAGATTTTAGCAAAAATATCAAAAGAATTGTTCAAAGTTCTGTTATCGATTTTCGAATTTTGCTCATATTTTCTATGTTCCGTATTAAAAATTGCATTTTCCTTTAAAAACATTTATTATTTTATAAATAAATATAATAAATAAATATAAAATTATAAATAAATATTTATAATTTTTTTCAAAGACATCATTTATAATTTTTTTTAAAAATTGAAAATAAGTTGCCACTAGTTACATTGATCCTAAATTAGTAATTGTATTTGCGCAAAACTGCATTAAAAAATGTAACTTATTTTCAAGGGCAATACATTTACTTTCTTAAGATAGATGTAAATATAGTCTTGCTTATGTAAACATGAAAGGACAGCATTTCTATAATATACTGGGTCAAAAAGATTCATATTTATTTTACTCACTTACGTATTTAACAATTAGTAGCTCATGCTTCCTCATAAATATTCGAATCATCATTAGCAAATATAATTTTGCGTAAAAGGTTTGGAAGTATGCATGAAGGATTGCATTAAATTAGTTGAAAAATTTCAAATAGAATAATTTTCTTTTTAAGTGCATTTAAAAGAAGATTGGGGGCAGGAACCTGATCATACTGTTGCCCTAAAACTTGGTGCTTTGGAATCTCGTTTGGATTACATGGGAACAAGTGTGCTTATGGGACGTGTTAGCTCTTTAGATATAACACTCAAAGATGAGTGGAGAGTCAGTACCAGTTTAATTCAAGATCATATGGTTAGTCATCCTACTAAAAGGTGAGTTCAATTCTATAATTTATCTGATTAAAGCATGTATATTAATGGCTAGTGTAATTTATTAATATAAACTTGGATATCAATGACTAGTGTAAGTCATTAATATAAGCCTGGATATTAATGACTATTGTAGTTTATTAATATAAGTTTGGATATAATGACAAATGTAATTCATTAATATAAGCTTTGATATTAATTACTTGTGTAATTCATTATTGAATATTAATGACTATTACAAGTCACTTAAAGGCTAAAAAGTGCCTGTTATATTATAGTTAAAAATTTTTGAATAAAATAAAAAGAACATTTAAAAAAAGTTGATCCTTTAAAAAAAAACTCCATACATTAGTTTGAAAAATATTAAAGTCTGTGAAAAAAGTAGGTAAAANTCACTTAAAGGCTGAAAAGTGCCTGTTATATCATAGTTAAAAATTTTTGAATAAAATAAAAAGAACATTTAAAAAAAGTTGATCCTTTAAAAAAAAACTCCATGCATTAATTTGAAAAGTATTAAAGTCTGTGGAAAAAGTAGGTAAAATCAATTTGCCACATACATATTTTAGTCCCTTTTTTTTCTAAAAACATATTTTTGTCCCTTTTTCATATAAGATATAACTTTAAATAACTTGTATGCATTTTAATTGTCTAAACATATGAATAAAATATTTTTTACTGTGTCTGTAAGTAATATTGAAGTTATATTATTTTAAAACCAATATCTAAATTAACTAAAAAATGCACTATGAGAAATTAATAATCTAATCAGAAATTAATCTCTAATCAGAAGTTAATAAGTTGTAATGTATATTTTTAGGATAATACTATCAATACTTTTCTATTTTTTCATAAATTCAATATTATTAAAGAAAGCAGAAGAAAGATATTTATTTATCTAAAAAAAAGAAAAACAAGTCATTATTATTTGATATTATTCAATATTAATATACTCAGTAATTATATTTATGTATTCTCTCAATTATAGGCCTGCTTTAATTTTTGTTAATGGAGAACTATCATGGGATCAACTGCAGCTTTTGATTTCAAAATCGACTACACCTGACTTAATAAAAATGTATTCCAAGCTGGAGGAATTTTTCTCTCAACAATTTCGTAGTAGCAAACGAGTGTTTTCATCTCTCCAGCCTCGCCTGCAAAGGCATTCTTTAAAAAATCGTTCACGAAAATCAAAGACACCGGAAGGTTGTTGTTCCCCTCTTTTTTCTATTATTGCTATCTTTCAGAAATATTTAAGTTCTTTAACAGAGCAATGGTTTAAAAATACTTGCTAAGAATAAATGATGTATAAAATTATTTTCCGAAATCATTTTGAAATTGATTTTCTCTATTTAAAATGCTTCATAATTGGCTCTTTATGTATATAATTTTAATCCTTTTAAAAAAATTGTGTTAAAAAATTAAGCACTTTCTTCATCTTCTTGAGTGCTACAGTCTAATAGAGGCAGACTATCTCTCCAAATTTCAAACACCAGACGTATTGAGTGTTATGTCTTTTTGTGTACTCACCCCCATTTATGTATTCACCTCTAGATCCCTCTTGAGATCAACCACCTATCTAGTAAATAGTCTTCCTTGTTGCTATTGTCGTTTTTTTAAAGAAAAACTTTTTAGCAATGTCCTCTTAGTATCTATCTAAATAAATTATAGTCCTCTATTATGAGATGACTTTACTGTTTTTACAGTGTTAAGTTCATCACATTTTATCTATCTAAATAAATGATAGTCCTCTATTATGAGATGACTTTACTGTTTTTACAGTGTTAAGTTCGTCACATTTTTTCATTATGCATTAATTATTATACATAAAAAAATAATGTATGGAGAATATTTTATAATAATTTCACTTTTATGTTTGATTCTCCTCATATCGTTGTGTTTAGTTTGAAATGTGTGCATTAGTGCCTTGCTGAATAGTTTTTAAGTAAGAAAAAACCATTTTTAACATCTTTCTAATTGTTATTGTGGTCAGGAAGAGAAAGGATTAAAATCGTTAAAATTCTGTATTAAAAGGAAGAACCTCTCATTAAGAACTACTTTTAACCTTATACTTAAATAATCTAGTTTTAGGTTATTTTTATTAATTTCAATAGTCAAAGTTTCATAATGTGTTGCTTCTTCTGACCTAAATGTTAATTTATAACTCCTAATGTACTTAGTTTTTCCATTTCACTTTTTTTGCAGTAATTCTCAAAATCTGTATTAAAAATTGGTCATTAGGGAGCTCCCTATATTCAACTACTTTTCTATATTTGATAGTTATAGTTAATTTTCTTGCAGTTGTTTTTTTTATATTTGTTAAAGCATTAACCTTTTTTTTAATTTTTAAACTGTTTTTTAAAGGTATTGATTTAAACAATGCCTTAAAATCTCATATAACTGAGTATCTTAATTAAAATATTCGCTATTCCACTAAAATAATAATGAATAGTAACAGCAACTTAATGATTAATAAATAAGTAATTCATTTATTGCTATTGTGAGGAAAATAAGATATAAAGCCAAGAATCTAATAGTAATGTATTCAGGGTTGTCTGTATCCTGTAAAAAAGAAGCTGATTTTGGACGAAATAACCAACCCTGGCTACCAAGAATAATTAACAGTTATAAAACTTATATAAGACTGTTTCCTATAGTGGAAAATAACTGTCTGTTACCAAGTCTTGGTAATCTTGGATATTTGTTCTTTACGAAAACAAACTAGAAAGAAATGGTTTTAATACTAGTTATTTCTCTTTTCTTGAATACAATCAGCCCTATGTATTAAAAAAATTCTAGATAGCACAGAAAAAAAACAATATAACAAAGAAAGCATATATTTACATACTTTGCAATAGCACATCTGAACCTCCATTCTGAAAACAGATATTGTATACCTAATAGAAAATTTAAAATTGACGTGATCCACCAATCATGCATATTAGAATTTTAGGAACAAAGAATGATACTATCTAATGAATAAAGGATATCTAAAACAATAGTGTGCTTATTAAATATTCCAACTAATTAATAATTGTGATAATCGTATTGTAATTATATAATTTATCAGAATTATTAATGATTGTATTAATTTTTTAATTTAATTGTACTAATATATCTCCATAAATTAGTGTTTATACCGATATATTTAGTGTTATACTGATATACTTAGTTTTTATGACTTATGTTCTTATTGCAGAGAGTGAAGCCAAACATCATCGTCATTGGCAGAAAGTCCTATACATGGTATCAGGCTTACAATTAAGTACAATGGCTAGTGCCTTACCGGAGATTGGAACAATATTAGGTGGCACAATGGATCTTCATGGTTACAATATTTCTTTAGCATGCTTCCATGGAATAAATTTTCGTTCCAAAGCTTGGGCTATCTTCAGTATGCGGAAACCAACTATTTCATTTGCAACTGAAGCACAAGATGTTGTAAAAGATGATGGTATGTGTTGATACATTTTTTATTTTTACATTTTTAGGAATATTCCATGTGACTTTATTAACATGTGTATAAGACAAATTTAATAATCCTACGTATTAAAGAGACTTCTAAACTTATTTAAATTTCCTGAATACTTTTGTAATTCTCAGCATCTTCTCATTGTATTTAGTTCAATTTCTTTTTTCATTAACATAGCTGTAAAAATTTATTTACAAGTTTATTGTGGTAGTAGTAATTATTGGAAATAGTTCAACTTATCAGTCGGATCTTTCCTTGTATTAGCTTTTTTCTAACTCACCATAATGTAAAATTAAAGTTCAAGCTGATGTCATCTTTCTAGAGGAGTAACATACCTTTTGTATTCTAAATTGGTTCATGAAGCAAACATATTATTAATAGAGGAGTAACATATTATGTACCAAGCGTGTTGTCATGTCATTGCTAGCATTATTGTTTTCTACATCAAGCTGCGGTGTGCTAGCTTTTTTACTTTTTGATATGTTGTAAGTTTACTAGGAAACTCTGTACTTCAACACATATCTGTTTTTTCTTCCTCACAGTTATTTGTAGATATTCCTCTTACATAGATGTTCAAAATATATGATTGTTGAAACTGTGAACAGGTCATCTTGTTGTTTCTTCATCACTGTGCTTAAATAACTCTGCATCCAGCCCAAGAGTAATACTTTACATTGAACTAGAGCTGTACAATGAGCTATTAGCAATGTTCTGGAAAACATTCCTGAGGATGATCCAAAGTCATGTCATCATAATTTTGATCCTTTGCAGAGATGGCTCCCTTGCTGTGGTAGCTCAATGGATTGCACATGAAATGCTAGAACAATTCGACAAGAACCGATACTGTGCATCCTTTTTCCTTTCACAGACAGATACAAATGGTTGCCCACACTCTCACTGATTACAGACCGTGATTTATTCGAAAACTTGTTTTACAATCAGTCCACTGTGGTATTTAAGCCCAATTACATTTTCAATCTTCCAATCCTGTGTAGGGCTGTGCCTTCTTTAGGCAAACTTGTAATCGTTAATTTTTTTTATCTTTTTATATCAGTTCATTACAGTTTCATCAGCTCACCTGAACAATGTTATTTTATTTGAGTTTTGCTTTGTCTAGCTGATTTTGGCTCTTATGATGATGTTGTTATTCCTCAAGAGGTTTGCCTGCTTTAGATGGTTCCATGATCACAAGTTACCCCAATGACTTTTTTTTTCTATCATCTTTTTTTTTCTACATCAGATTTAATTTACAATATCATTTGAAAAGCTTACCTAGAGTACAAAAATGTTGTATATGTTGGATGCTGAGTCTTTACTTCTGACTCTTTTGCCTTTGAATGCTATATTCAGCACATTAGTTCTACTTACCGTATATTCCCGCGCATAACGCGCCCCGGCGTATAACGCGCACCCGTAATTTTCAATAAATTTTTTTAAATTTTAAGATATACTCTTCGTATAACGCGCACGAAAATTTGGATTGTACATGTGCAATATCTCGTCTAGTATCTACAGAAAACCAGAAAGCCTTTTAGTGTGAGACATGTTTTGGTCCCACCTTACAGATAATACAAAAAAATTTTTGAAAGTATTTAACACCGATATGGCAGTTATTCCGGGCGGATTGACACCATTAGTTCAGCCATTGGACGTCTGCTTAAGCAAACCATTTAAAGCCAATTTAAAAAAACAGTGGAACACTTGGATGTTGGAGGGCGAGAAAACCTTTACGAAAGTGGGACATATGCGTCATGCAAGTTTGGAAACAGTGTGCGAATGGATATTAAAAGTATGGGATGAAATTAAGCCTAAGATGGTTAGAAAATCATTCAAAAAATGCAACATTTCAAATAATCTGGACGGATCAGAAGATGACTGTTTATTTATGGATGAGGGTAACACAGATGATGAAGACGAAACAGATTGTAATGACGTGCCTGAAGAAATAACGGAGGACGAACATAATGAACTATTTACGTAATAACGAAAATCTATAAAGTATATAGGTAAAGGTATGTCATTTCTTTAGAATAAAAGTATTTTTATATATTTAAATTTTGTTAATCTATAATTTTTTATATTCGGCGTATACCGCGCACCCGAAAATTCCAATGTTACTTTTTGTATTAAAAGTGCGCGTTATACGCTGGAATATACGGTATGTAATTATTATTATTTCAGAATTGCTATAGTTCTACCACTTATTTTTCCATTTCAATAATTATTAAACAGTTATCTGAATAGGATATTTACATTAGAGCTTCATTTTTTTTTTTTTAAATTTATTTTTTCCCCCTTTCAGGTAGTATTGCTACTCACATTGTTCAAAATTTGTCTTATGCCCTTGGCCATTGCTCAACAGAAACTGCTCAGCATTCAAGTATGGCTACTGTTTGCCGGATATCAAGGAACGTTCTCTTCCCACCTCAGTTTAGAAGCATGCATGAATGGTTTCACTATGCCTTCGCTACGAGTGAATTGGATGGTAAAGAACTCTTAGATCTTTTGAAACCAACTTTCATAACTATTTTTGTATGAAGGTATTCCAAAAGCCTTAGAATGATCAAATACTTTGACAAATGCAAATTGAATCAAAAAGATAAAATGATGTGTTTATTGTTTTAAAAAATTTATTCAATAATACCAAATTCAAAATTTTCATTCCTTCCGCTAGCATACCTTCCAGATTTTGCTCTAAAACTGATTTTTCAAAATGATAGTAAAATGTAAATTGAATGATCATTTATAGACAAATGTATTTTTATATTTTGTCTAACTTAAAATAGACCAACGTATTATTTTAATACATTTATATAAATGTTTAATCTATTTATCTGTAGTGGTAATTAAAATCATTCTTAATTAAATTTATAAATTTAAGAATGAAACAAAAGAGCTAAAGGTTTACTATAACTTTAAATATAAAAAATAAAATCTTCTGGAAAATCTGGAAGAATCAGCAGCTATGGCCTAGGGGTAAAGTTAGATAGCAACTTGGAAATCTTATTCTTAATTTAAACCTTATTTTTATTTGAAATTCCAGGGAAAATATCCAAATTTTATCTTTGAGTATTTATTTTTGAAATGACAAATGATTTTATCTAAACTTAACAAACTGAGAAATGGGAATGGATGACAAAAATGAGTTGTCTCAGGAAATACAACTCATCAGATTAAAAAAAGAAAGAATATGCATGCAGTTAGACTAAAAAATTGTTGAACCTTAACCTCCATGGCTGTTTAAATATCTCCAGATAGTTCATATCTGGTTCTCAAGAAGATATTGCAGAATTGATTTTTTTTATTTTTACATATAGAGCTATGTTTAAATTTGGTTCCAACCCCTGAAGTGAGTTCAGGAATAATGTTTAATATTTTAAAAATTTTGTTTCTTATTCTTTATTTTCCAATTTTAGGACTATTTGTCAACTCAAAAATTGAAATTTGTATGTCAAATCTGTGTATTCTTTTATAATAAAACTGAATCTGCAATAAAAAAAATAATGAGGGTTCCTATATAAGCTTTAAAAAATGCTCCCAGGGTGAGGGATCAATTTTGATATCATTAGATGACTTTTTGTAAAGCACAAATTTTTCTTCTTCTTCTTTTTGATCCAAACTGTTATTTAATGGCTTAGAGACAACCTTTATACTGAATGTTTTTTTTTGAAAAATTTGAGCAAAAAACTTAAAATGAAGAATAATAAACTTCTTTTATGTCTATTTATATAACTTAAAAATCAATGTAAAATTTACTACAAATTTGCTATCTTCAATGCTTTCTTATTTTTTGTCTTAAATTTAATCAACCTGAAAAATTCGTTTTAACTTTTATTATGTTATTTTGTTGAATACTGTTAAAAGTCTGAGTGTTGGTCCTGTATGTAATTCTGTATTATTCTGTATAGTTATTATTTATTATGGAAATAGCGTAAGTATTAGAATGTTAATGTAAGGATCGCTCTTGATTAAAGACTCCAGAGATTTTACTTGCAATTTCATTTTATGAAATTCATTTAAAATTTTTACAATTTTGTACAATTTGTTCGGTTTTGTTACAGTAATTTCCCTTCTCTGTTGCTTTATTTTCATTTTTGTTATTATATGTGCTACGTCCTGCCACAGTATTTTCAGGGCTAAGGAAAGGCATAATAACCTTTGTTATGATGTGATGGATATATAGTGATTTATTAGCAATATTTTTAATATGCTAATTATTCAATTGCTTTTAAAGTTCAGGGTATCTGCGCACCTGGAAAGTCATGAGAAATCATAGAAAGTCATGAATTTCGGTTTTGAACAAAATTTGTCATGATTTTAACTGATTAAAAAAATCATGGAAAGTCATGGATTT